GTAAAAGATAACTAGTTGATAGCTTATCAATTCAATAAAAGTTTCAAAACTTTTATATTTTAACTTAATATAAGAGTTTACATTAATAAGGCAAATTCAAATATAATCATGCTTCTATAATCTCCTTTTTAAGACTTTTATGTCAATTCATAACTATTTATATGAATCTATTTCATCATGGACACTAGCTATTAATTTTTTTTTTACCATGAACAAAACCATTTCCATCACCCAGATGGATCAAATAGCATTCTTTTTACTATTATAAAAGTTTTCAAATTCACAAGATCTTTAGATCACTCATGGCTTCTAAAGTAAATATACTTTGAAATTTTTACTATATAAAACGATAAATGATAAATCATTTGTACAATCCATGAATTAGACCATATATATAACAAAAAATTATCACAATGTGATCAAGATTATGGCATCAATTTTGGCTTATGGCTATTTTAAGTCAATTATAATAATCCACCTCATACCAATAAATCATATAGATTTGGTTATTAAAGTTATCTCATTTATAATAATGGCTTTTAGTGAAAACCAACTATCTCAAATGTTATCATGAGTTTTCAATGCATATAGTAATTGCCTAATGGCTAATTTCAAGTTCATGATTATTGAAACCTCTAAACTTGATTTCAAATTGTATGAGAACTTTATTTCTCCACCATTGTGTAGCCTATATATCTCTATTATTTATCACTTTTAATTGGTCATAACATTTTCGAATATATAATAAACTCAAACTTTACTCATAGGACTAATATGCCTTAGACAATAAAAGTCTATAGTATATTTAACTCCAATTTCAAATGCTTTCACAATCATTTTGTAACTAATATGTTCATATCTAGATCATCATATCAATGCAAGTCATGAAGTATGAATCCAAATAATCATTTTCATAAAATAGTATAACTAATAATTATAATATGAGTTCTACTCATATTTATGCAAAAATTCATGATGAATTTGCATTGGTTAAATCATTAATTGGCTAACTCTATGGCTTATGACTTTTACAAACTAATATTATTATCTAAGCCCATATGTTAATATAATATATAACCAGCCACATTATTGCTATTGTCAAAAAACTATTGAAAATCTCGAAAACTTGTTCACTTTTCATTTTAACAGCCTACAAAAGGCCATTTTTCAAGTACAAGAAGCAAAAATAACTTCATTGTCTTTAACTAATAATATATTAATTGGATGATGACATTTTATCTCTATAGTCTATATCTTTTTTATATGTATAAGAAAGAAAATTTCATCCCATTCAGTTCATTTTTGTAATATATAGCAAACTGTATCAATGTTCTCATGCCATCACAAAATGAAATTAAACACATACATGTATTGGTACCTTTGAAACATTGAATTTGTATGTTCTTTTCTAATTTATAAACATGCCTAATTAGACATTGATAAGCATTATTCAAAATGCTAGTAACCGACAAATGCTTTAATATTTTTTAATGGCATGCCTTTTCGTTTAATCAATATCCCATATGCAAAAAGCAATAATGTTTTTTTGTAACTATTGATTAATTCTTTGACTGCTTTTTATGATTTTCACTTTGCGATTGTTCACAATAAAATTTTATTTTATAAAATCACTTTTAGTGTAATACATCCAGTAAACAAAATACATGTCACACTACCTATGTTTCTGATAATAACCATTATTTGGTTTATTATCCACCAATTAATACATGAAACACCATATCTTAATAATAATTATTCAAATATATCAATTTAATTTTAATTGGTTTCATAAAAATTAAACGCTAGTCAAAATTTGAACCAATAATAAGTTTTAAATATATATATATATCAACATTTGATTTATAAACGACCAATAAAGATAGAATCATACAAATAGCTTGACTCAACTTATTATCTCAATTTTGGTACCATGATTTAATAATAAAACTAATCTTGTAGTTAAATCTTATTTTCGGCATATATTCTCTACTTGCATCTAATTTATCATGGTAAATTCTTTTACCTATTTCTGATTGTTTTCATAGAAACTATTGCACAATTTACCTGTTCTATGTATAACCAAGATATGACAATTAAATAATTGATCATTCCATTATAACCTAATTTAATTCATTACTTGATAACAAGTGATAGTTCTTTTGGTTGTAAATTAATTCATGTCTTTCTCTTTTATGTTTTCAGGCTATTTCTCATCCTAGTCTTTATAAACATTGATTTTTCAAATAAATATAATACAATTCATTAAACCCAATTGTGAAGTGAATTTTAATATATGCATAAACTTATACAATGTAATCGATATTTTGCATATTGTGTTTTGATTTTACACACTAATAAAATAAATTGTTAATATGTTTATCTCATTCAGTGAATTTTTTTACCAGCAATTATGCAAAAAATAAAATGCATACCTCTAATGAAGATCTTTATGAAAATTAACATTTTGGTCCATAAAAACATTAATCCTTTGACATCTTGAACCTTCTCTAATATTGATCTCCGAATCATGCTAATTTCTTTTCCTTGTATCCTTCTCATGCGAAATATAAATTTCTCATAATTACCTTTAAATTGTTAAAAAAAATAAATAAGAGAAGAGAAATAATAGAAAAAAATTTTGGCTTTGAGACGTGAAGAATTTTTTTCAAAAGCAATTATGTCTTTAAAATACAACAAAACCTCAAACTCTCCAATCAAAAATAGTAAAAATAGTTATATTGAAAGATTTATTTATAATGAATGAATAGACATAAACTTTTATTCAGATAATTATGACCTTCTGTATAATCATGATATTTATGAATAATAAATTATTTATATTCAAATAGTTACAACTATTTATAATATGATAATTGTTTCTATTCAAACATAATTATTTAAAATATGAATAAAATTAATATAAAAATTAATTTAATTTATCAATAATTAAATTTTTATAGCCAATGTAAGATACAGCATGTTCTAAATTATCAACATCAACTTGGATTTGCCTTTACAGTGGTAGGAGTTGGTGAGAGTTTAGACAAAGATTTTTAGTTGTAAAATTGATGCTCCAAAAAAATGGTGTTGCTTTGCTTCATGTCAATAACAGCCTATCATGGTTGCTGGTGTACATATAAAGGCTTCCAATTCCTGAATTTGGTGTTCTTACCCACTGGTATACACTAAACATGCTTTTCTTTATCAAATTCTGAGGAGACTTATGTTCATAACTTATAGTTGCAAAACTTATGTATGAATATCATTTTGTTTGATTAGAAATGGGAGAAAAAGGATTGAAAGACTCGTTTCATTTTGTTTGAAAAGTAAATGTTGCATCCAAGCCTTTCAATTTGATTCAGCAATTTTAAGTACAATTTTAAGTACAATTATAAGTATTCATGAACCATTAATGAATATTGGTTAAGATATTTGGTTTCTTTTATTGAAGGACAACGAGTTTGACAATAGTTGTACATAAACGAGTTTGACAATAGTTGTACATAATAAACTTAGCCGTACAATTAATGTTTCAAACTCCATAATCGTAGCAAGAAAGTGAATGTGGTTTCTTTTTTAGTTTTAACATTTCATTAAATTGAAAAAAGAAATAGAATCAATGGTTATATTATATTATAGTATGCTATTTATCCTATCAATTTGGTCTCAAATATTTGTATTAATGATATATTATATAGTTATCAAATAAATTCAAATGTTAAATCTACCAATCCATGGGACATGGGTAAATCAATTTATTTATCTATTTATTTTTTAGAAAATAATAAGTTTAGATTATAATATTTTGTAATCCGTTTCAAATGAGACTTGGATTTTTTTATGTATTATTATATTAATAATTAAAAAAGTAATTATAACTATTATAAAAGGTCTAAGAGAGCTTACTTAATTTCATTTTTAAGAGTATATAAAAAAAAAAACAAGGATTAATAGTGCAATATGTGATGGCTTTGTCTCATCAACTACTTCCATCAACTTCATGTTCAGGCGTATTTCTTGAAGAGTTTAATTTCCATGTTATGACAGAATGTTTCAATTCAGTTATAATCACACAAAAGGAAATAACCATAGAAAAATAAACTTTTCCAACGCAACGTTAAAATATAGTAGTCAAACTTTAGAATTTTAAGCAAAATTTTAAATTTATAAATAAAATATTATAAATTGACCAATTAGATGAATCAATTAATAGATTAATATATTAATTTATTATTAGAAACGGGATCAAACAAAGAACTTCAAAAGAAAAGAGAAGATAAAGTAATAATTAAGTGAAACTGATCGACGTACAACAACAGAGATAAAAAATTTTTGGAAGGGAATCACAACTCTTGCCTACTGTGTGTGTGTATATATATATATATATATATATATATATAGAGAGAGAGAGAGAGAGAGAGAGAGAGGTGAGTAAAAACGTCACAGAAGCTCAAAAACTAATGATTAACTCATGCAAGCTAGTTGCTGCTGTAGGCATTGTCATAATTGCCATGTGCATGCAAAGCAGCACGTCAAACTTCATCCAGAACACACACTGCTTAGCTTACCTAGATCTTATAGCTACAGCAGTATGCAAATTAATGTTGAAATTCTTCACCTTCTTTAAACTTTCATTTTGGAACAAAAATGTGTGGCGGCTACAATGTATATATGTAGACGCTATGTCAGCCATTTGTTTTTCATCTCCAGACAAGTAGTTGGATTTTGCCAAGCATGAAGAATAAATAAAGTGAGCCGAACATTTGATTTAGTGATTAAAACATAATCTTACGATTAAAAAAAAGATTCGAATAGATTTTCATTTAAATTAAAAAAAATGGGTTAGGGTTTAATTTAAGCCCAATTCAACTATTTTTATTTCTGAATTTAGGGCTTAAGGCCCATTTTGGATCCAGTAAATTAATTGAAGCCCATAAAAACCTGGATATTACAGAGAAAGTGGACGCCCAGCCAAAACTATGAACCCGAAAACTCGTTGATTTGATCAGATCAGGGGGTACTTTTGTAATTACATCAAAGAAGTCTGTTTTCAGCTTCCAACCGTAAAGGCATTTCGAAGGAGACCAGAGAAGAAAACAAAGAAAAACACGATGAAGACGATGGCGCCACCAGCCGCGATACGGTGGTGCGCAGTCGTATCGATACTCATTCTATCTCTATATATCTCACCGTCGATCTCCATTTACTGCGACGAAGACGATTGCTATGATCTTCTAGGGTCAGCTCCCTCACTTTCACCTATCTTCCATCCCGAATTTATCTCTCTGTTCATATTTTAATCTTCCACTAATTTTAACTTTTCCATTATTTTTTCTAGGGTTTCTCAAAATGCTAATGCCTCGGAGATCAAGAAAGCCTACTACAAGCTCTCCTTGAAATAGTAAGTTCTTCTTTTTAACATCTTCAATCTCTTCTTTGATTTAATTGCATCTTAAAGTTGATTCCTTTTTCTGTTTAGTCATCCGGATAAGAATCCAGATCCGGAATCGAGAAAGCTTTTTGTGAAAATTGCCAATGCTTATGAGGTAACTACAATCCTTTTTCTTTCGATTTGCTATATCTTTTACATTGAATTTGAGATTTACAGTTTGTTTTTCCTATTAGTACTGTAAAAGCTAGTGACTTTTTGTCCCACCCCCCCCCCCCTCTTAAAATTGAATAAAAAGTGTTCCTTTTTTTTCTTTTTTCTTTTTTTGGCAGATTTTGAAAGATGAAGCCACGAGGGAGCAATATGATTATGCAATTGCTCATCCTGAGGAGGTGAAATTTAAGTTTTTATTGAAGGCTTTTTGTAATTTGCTAAATGTATTAAGAGTTGCATTACGTAAAATTGTGTTTTCATTTGGCTTTGTCACTCTAGTTATTATCGTGGATCATTTGATTTCACCAGAGTTGACCTTCTATATATTTCTCTCTTAAATTACTTGTAATCATCGAATTTTTGTGCCATTTAGGTATTTTATAACACAGCTCGTTACTATCATGCATATTATGGTCACAAAACGGTGAGAACTATTTTAGTATTTCTGTGGTTATTATGTATTCTTTCTGGTTTGGCATAAGGGTTTTGCGTTGACTTGTTTCTTGCTATTCCATATGTGTGCTTTCTAGGATCCTCGTGCTGTCTTGGTTGGTCTTCTTCTGATTCTATCAGCATTTCAATATCTAAATCGGTGGACAAGGTATAATCAGGTGAGCTACCATCAAGTATTGTCTAGATATGGTTATTTCTGAAATGTCTATGTTTGGTGGATGTGCTGAATATTGGTAGGTAGTATCACTTAGAAGACTGAACTTTTTGCAATGTGACTTTTAGTATGTTACAATAGCACTTGTCATAGCTTCAAAAGATATACTAACAACTAAAGCTTAGCTTACTGCTTGTTACCCTTCCAATGGAGAGTCAACTTCAAAGATTCAACTCCCCCCTCTCCTCAGCGTTTTCCAAATGCACAAAAAGGAAGAAGTTCAAAGAGGAGACAGCCAGTTATGATGATAAAACAGCACCATAAGAGAATTTTGTGGCATAACTTTTCTAATGTATGTTACTTATTTGTCGCATAGAAATGCTTACATTTTCCCTTTATTTTACTTTTTTTTTCTCCTTTCTTTTTCTGGATTCAGGCTGTAGACATGGTCAAGAAGACACCTGCTTACAAAAACAGACTGCGGGCATTGGAACTTGAACGTAGTGGAGGAACAACTAATAAGAAGAAGAGTAACAAGCAAATGGACAAGTATACCGCATATACTTGTTTGATTTTTGACCCATAAAATTAGACTCCAATGATGTGGTTTTGTTTACAGTAACCACATATAGAGCAATGTGCATATGCCATCCTTTAAACCCTTTGTGCATGCTTTTTTCTTTTTTTAAATAAAAACAATATGACCCATATTTTGACAGCAGGAAAAAGGAGGAAGATCTCAGCAAAGAGCTTGAGCTGGACATTAAGGGAGCCGAAAAGCCCTCCATCTGGGAATTAATTGTTGTCCGTTTCATTCTCCTTCCCTACACTATTGGCAAGGTTAGAATACCAGCTATTAAGCTAAGAATAGCAACAATTTCATATTAATAATAGTGATTACCCTATGTATTTGATCTTGCTGTTGTTGCATTGGCAAAAGAATGCTTGACTTAGACTTCAACCTTAGTTTTCAGACTGAAATTGGTTATTGATTAAATTTCTGTCTCTCCAGCTATTGTTGTGGTATGTCTGTTGGTTCTGGAGATACAAAGTGAAACGAGCTCCATATTCTTGGGAAGATGCAGCTTACTTGACAAGAAACTCCCTCAGAGTGCCTCTTGAAGCATGGCTAAACATTGGTAACTACAATTAAGTTCCTCAAATTTGTATAAAGGCAATACACCTTTTTAGGGATTTAACTATGTTTCATAGATGATAGAATCATAGAATGGCTTATCAAGGTTGTCATATGTGCTGACCATTATAATAATTACTAAACTTTATTGTTATACCGCCTAGTTTGATTAAAATCTTTATATCATCAAAGATTTGCATATTGCCGTGAACTATATGGTTGCAGCAAACGTTATGTACTACCTGACCGTAAGGAGCATCGATAGTTCGTTCCTTCTGAGTCTAGGCCTGTGGGAGCAACCACATTTATACTTCTCATATGCTGGTGTTATAGTATTTTACTAAATTAAATCTTGTGTATGTTTATTAGATGAATCAACCAAGGAGGATCTTATACAGAGACGTTTATGGATTAAGTCAAACTTAGAGAGCTATATAGCAGAAATGCGAAAAGAACACAAGCGCAGAAGATAGAAGGATTATTGCATCGCTTACTCGAGATTGTTTGCCCAAACTACATGCAGGAACGGAACTGCTTTTTACTAATATAGACGATTTTGGTTTGATTGTACTTGAAGGCTGAGAAGACTGTTGTTGCTAATTGTTAAGTTTTGATCCGTAACATTCAAATCTAATTCTTGTAGCGGAGTATTCAGAATGTATTTTTTGTAAACTTCCGTATATAAAGTGTAGATTTAGATGGCTTTTTTGTGGTCATGGGCCTTACTTGCTGGTGAGCGAGGGACATAGTTACATGGTGTCAAGTGGACTAAATTGAACCCACTCAACTCTAGAATAGAAATATTTTGTTTATATATATGCTATTTCTGATAGCTGGGAAGGTTATGTGATGAAGAAAAAAGGAAAACCATTATTGTTGTGTGAAACAGGGTGTTGGTAAATGTGCTATAGTAGTAAATTCTGAAGTAATAGAACGAAGTTAGTCACTCTTGCTTGGCAAGGAAGCAAGACATCTAAATGTTACAACTGGAACCTGCTTTAAATCCCGACCCATTTACGACCTCCCGCAAAATAAGAAGAATCCATTTGCCCATTGTAGCCAAAAGCCCAAAAAAAGTAGTTCTTTATTTAACTATTTTATTATACTATTTTTTTCTCTTATTTATCGATCATTATTACTTTTCTTTTGACATAATCAATCATTAAACAAATTTTCTTTCCAAAAGATGTTTCTAAACGGTGCAATGAATCCAGACGCAAAAAGGGTGAAATTGATCTTTAAATTTCTTGGAATCAAAGTTAAGTTGCTCTTCCTCCAACCCATGGAGACAAATCAAATCCCCTGTAGGCCCATTTAACTCCAACGGAACATTTTCCGTCAAATAACCGCGATCCACCTTTAACCAAGGCCGGTCATCTAACACCGTTAAACAAAAAGACAAACGGCGGTGAGCCCCACCGCTTGACCTTGTCATTATCACATTCCTAATCATTACGCGCACTGATAAACAACCGTTACCGTGTCAATTATGGCAAGAGCCACTTGATTCTTACGTGTCACATTTTCATTTGTTCATTACTTTATTTGTTTTCCTATAAATTAATCCCTCTAATTGCCTTCTTTTCCCAAACCCAACGATTAAATTTCTCTCTCTTTTTATTCTCATCGATTTTCTCTCCAGCCAAACAAGATGCAGATATTCGTCAAGACACTCACCGGCAAGACAATCACCCTCGAAGTCGAGAGTTCCGACACGATCGACAACGTTAAGGCGAAAATCCAAGACAAGGAAGGAATTCCACCGGACCAACAGCGTCTTATCTTCGCCGGAAAACAGCTCGAAGACGGCCGAACCTTGGCCGATTACAACATCCAAAAGGAGTCAACTCTCCACCTCGTCCTCCGTCTACGTGGTGGTATGCAAATCTTCGTCAAAACCCTGACCGGCAAAACCATAACCTTGGAAGTCGAAAGCTCTGACACCATTGACAATGTCAAGGCGAAGATCCAAGACAAGGAAGGAATCCCACCGGACCAGCAAAGGCTTATCTTTGCTGGGAAGCAACTTGAAGACGGTCGAACTTTGGCCGATTATAACATTCAAAAGGAGTCGACCCTTCATCTGGTTCTGAGGCTCCGTGGTGGGATGCAGATTTTTGTCAAGACTTTGACTGGGAAGACGATTACTTTGGAGGTGGAGAGCTCGGATACCATTGATAATGTCAAGGCGAAGATTCAGGACAAAGAAGGGATTCCACCTGATCAGCAAAGGTTGATTTTTGCTGGGAAGCAATTGGAAGATGGAAGGACCTTGGCTGATTACAATATTCAGAAGGAATCCACTCTTCACCTTGTCCTGCGTCTTCGTGGTGGTTTCTAAGCTCCCCATGGTGGGTTCTGGTTTTATGTGAAAGGATTATCAGTAATGATGTCTGGCCCTGTTGAGGCCTTTTAAATAAATCTTAGTCCGATCTCTATCTTTACTTTATGTTACAGTTTCTTTTGAATAAAATTTGCATATTTAACGCAATTCTGTTGCCAAATAGTTGTCTTTGGGTGCGCGTATTGTGTTCTGTGGTGTTCATTGCATTTATAAAAAGAGGGTAAACGAGATATCTTTTGCCTCTGAAATTTGTGGAGGATACGAGCTTTTGAGATAATCCTACCCTTTTCCAATAGGTTCTGTTCTGATAGAATCGGATCTCAAGGGATTAAACTATTATAGCGCCCGGACTATTGGACTCATTCCAAAGTCTTATATGCCATCGTATGTCATCCACATGTGGATTCTTTTCACCAATGCCTCAACTACGCATCAAACAGGATAAACCAAGGCCGTATCTGTCATTCAACCACCATTCTTGTTTATGTCTCGGCCTGATGACATTTATACATTAATTATTTAAGCGCCCGCATTGTTTAAAAAACAATACCCCATTGGTTGTTTACTTTCTAAGTCTAACGGATGGTTTAGGGGATCCTCTATCTCCTTCAAGCTTCAACTTCATATGGCTGACTCGCATATTCCACTTATGGGAAAACTTATGTGGACTCTCGAGGTACTCAGCTACCTAATTATCCCTCTCAGTTCTCAGATTCACCAACTCTTTTTGTAGTTGTTTCAACTCAGCGATTTTCTGTCTTGTCCCTTCGAGATCTTAGGATGTTTTTTTTTTCTTTTTTAAAGTTGTCCTCTGCAGCTCTTCTTATGATATGAAGGTCTTCTTTGCAACAACGTATTAATTGTTTTGCTTTGAGAGCTTAAAAAATAAGTAATACCTCCGATCTTCATTCAAAGAGATCTGCAAATGAAAATATCTTTTGTTATCACATACATATAGACAATGCTGATTTAAAGAGTACTACTTGTGGTACCTTCGCTTATTTGATGCTTGTTGTTTACTGCAATTTTCAACTTAGCTCTAGTGACGTGGTAGGGTTTTGGATAAATATTCATAGGTTTGAATTTTGGATCCTTCGAAACTATACATATTTTCCTGGATTTTGTTCAGTGCAAACTAGTGAAGAATCAAAGCTTAAATTCTCTGAAGACGAGGAAACACTTATAATTAGGATGTATAATCTGGTTGAAGAGAGGTTAATCTCTTTGCTTTCACTTTAGTTCTTTTGTTTCTCCCGCAAAGCGTTCGTTCTCTCAAGAAAGGCCTAAAATTTTACTAGTAACCATTGTCAGGTGGGCTTTAATCGCTGGGAGAATCTCTGGAAGGATAGCGGAGGAAATTGAAGAGTATTGCAATACTAGGTACTCCACAAGTGATTAAAAAACCTGGACGATCGATACTATCCTCTTCCAAATAGTCGATATTTTTGAGAGAACTGATGCCAATTACAGACAACAGAACATGTTGGTTACTTGTTGCAGCCACCTAAAACGGGTCAAGAAGATCTTAAGCAGTTCAACTAACTTGAAAACTGGAATACGCATGTTCTTGTAACTCTTCAAGCAAGTGATGTGTTTTATATTTTGGGCTTCACCACTTTCTCTTATCATGATCTTACGGTCGACTATCTTCATTGTAAGGGTTTACATTCGTAATTCCAAAGCCTATTCAATTAGCCAATGAAAGTTCTCAGTTCAAATGTCGACTGTGAGAGTTTGTCCATATGTATTCGATTTTGATTTCTTATCTCTTTTCATCGTTTGAAAAGAAACTGAGCAGAAAGTAACATGCTCTTAGTTCGCCTATCAACCATGTTTACGCAATGATCTTGTCTTGATGCGTGTGCAACAGCAAAAATTCAATATGACAACCAAGTTATACCAAATTACACAAAGGCTAGCTTGCATTAATTATAGCAAGATAATAAAGGCAGATAACATGATTCAAATAAAGGACAAAGCCTGAAAGTTTGATTTATATTCCAATTGAAATGCTGCTCAAGGGACATGCTGCTCAAACCGGATGCCTCCAGACATCATCCCTCCAGCAAAGAAGGGAAAGGAACCACAAATAACCATTTAAAGAAGCTTATAAATAATAAATCTACCCAGTTGTACAATCATAGTGAACCCAACTTAAAGTTTAGCCCTAGCAAACTTGATTGCAAGGAAGACCAACTTTGGAGCCAATTCTATAGACATGATTAATGCATGCTTTTATTAAAAAAGAGATTCAGTTTGCTAGTAAAATCATTAAGGGAAAGAGGCACAAAAGATCAGAAAGAAAACCAGCAAACGTACAGCATAAACATCAACAATTTAATAATCTTTTACAGCATCTGTGATCAAGTTGGTGAGTTAACAATGACAAAGTGCAGTTATGATATCTACTTGAAGACCAGCTAATATCCCCTTTGCATTATACATTGCTCTGCTTGTAAAGCTTGGTGTCAAGCACTTGCTTACCGCACAGCGCACATACCCCTGCATAACACAAAACACCCATCAGACGCCACCAAAAAAAAAAAAAAATCATAAAATCAATCAAATGGGCAGATTGAGCAACATCAAATTATCATACCTTTGGAATAAGCACAAGTGTGACAGTACTTGGCGTCTTGATGCACTTGCTGCTTGCAAATGATGCACTTAGTATTTCCATAAGGAGTCCACCTGCAAGCAATAACTTCCAAACCAAAATTAAGAATATCAAAACCAAATCCAGAATCATACATGAAAAATAAGAGGGACAATTTGACCAGATAAGAGCACTGCATAGATAATCAGCATTGTGGAAAGAAGTCATTAAATCAAACACAAGAAGAAACAACTAAATACTCAAGATATTGCACAAAACCAATTGCAGCTAAAATCCTAAACCCTAAGTTATGTTTTTGACAATTACCTTCTGTAATAAAGAGAACCCCAGAAAACTAGCACTCAAATAAAATTCTTTTCCCAACGTTAACAATCCAATCCCAAGCTTAGGTTAATACTAAAATCCCAAAATTGGAAAAATTAATGATAATTTACAGCAATAATCAAGCAATTCCTTGAAAGAAATAAACTGATAAAAAAGTATTACTACTATTCAAGTCAAAATTCTACCAAATCAATTATAAAAAATCCCAAATTTGTAACGGAATTTTAACTTTGATAATTTTTTTTGCAAATTAGTAAATAAGATTTATGACTGAAAAAGGAGACGGTAAAAACAAAAAGACCTGTGCTTTTTGGAGAGGAGTTTATTCTCGTTGATTTTCCGGCCACCGCTTTCTGTGGTGTTGGTGGCGCCTTCCTTCCACTTATCTGGCACGATCACCTTCGATAGCTTCTTCTGGCCTACAAATTAAAATAACCTAATCAATCAGCTTTTTCTTTAAATTTTACAGATCATTACTATTATAAATACCCCTATTAATCAGCAAACTGGTTTAATTGCAGAGTGAGAAAACTTACACTTCTCGCACACCATTGGAGCTGTTAGCTTTGCTCCGCAACTTTTCCCCTTTTCGAAATCGGAGCCCTAGGGATTGTTGGCGATGGATCCGGCCGCTTATGTGCTTTAATAAAAGTTTTTGTTCTGTTTATAAAATGACAAAAATGCCCTTGCATTACTAAACTAACCGTAACCGGTACTAAGATGGGCTTAAGACTAAAATAGGCTATGTGATCTTTGTGCTATTGCTAATTCCTGTACAGGCACAGCTGTGGGATGTGAGCCTATACCTTTTTGGACTCCAATAGTCCTTGAGCTCAGCGGCCCATTTTACTCCCCTTGTTCACACTTCACAGATAAGAACAATGGGCCGGAGTAACCAAAAATCATCTTGAGCTCAATGCAAGAATTGCAAATTCAGGCATCGAAGAATTGTTTCCAAACTCCAAGTTTTCCATGAAATACAGAGTAGCTTGGTCTGCAGTTGTAGATAGATACGATAATTTATGTATTTTTGTAGCATAAAATATTAAAAATTAATATATTTATATAATATTTTATATTAAAATTATTTTTTATAATTCGTATTTATATAAAGATATAAAATTTATTTTTTAATTCTTTTAATTTTTTTATGATTTTTATTAAAATTTTAAATTGTATTCTTGTTATATTTTTTATTCATATGATAGTACTTGTTTGAAATTATGAGATCTAGTTACAGAAAATGTTATACCAATGTACCTAGTAGATAGCAAAAATCCAAGCATTATGAACCGTTCAAATTCTATCTTCATCAATCTTTTTCACTTTTTCAGATTTTTTCGAACAGATATTTTGATCAAGCTTTAATACCTCATTTCAGATATTTTCATCTCTCTCCATCCTAAATACAAGCTTAAATACCCTCCATATCTCCTTCATTTCCCACACAAACTTACCCAAAACACTTGACTACAAGCAATGGCAGCCATGGCAACAACCGTCACCTCACTGCCTTCAAGCTGTAAACCATCTTTCTTAGACCACAAGTCATCCTTGTATGGCACCCCAATTGCTTCTCGCTTCACTCCCGTTAAATCCTCCTCACAAAACTCCACCATTTCCATGTCCTTAACTCCTCCTTATGACTTACAATCCTTTAAATTCCAACCCATCAAAGAATCCTCTGTCGCTCGTGAAATGACACGCCGTTACATGATGGACATGATTACCTATGCTGATACTGATGTTATCATCGTTGGCGCCGGCTCTGCGGGTCTCTCTTGTGCTTACGAGATTAGCAAAAACCCCAACATCCGAGTTGCCATAATCGAACAATCTGTTAGCCCTGGTGGAGGCGCATGGCTTGGTGGCCAACTATTTTCAGCCATGGTTGTGCGCAAACCAGCTCAGAGATTCCTTGATGAGCTTGGCATCCAATATGATGAACAAGAAGACTACGTCGTGATCAAGCATGCAGCTTTGTTCACATCAACGATCATGAGCAAGCTTTTGGCCAGGCCTAACGTGAAGTTGTTCAACGCTGTGGCTGCTGAGGATTTGATAGTGAAGGGAAACAGAGTTACCGGAGTGGTAACTAACTGGGCTTTGGTGTCTATGAACCATGACACACAATCTTGCATGGACCCAAATGTCATGGAGGCTAAGGTCGTGGTCAGTTCTTGTGGGCATGATGGACCTTTCGGGGCTACTGGTGTCAAGAGATTGAAGAGTATCGGGATGATTGATAGCGTCCCAGGGATGAAGGCACTGGATATGAACGCTGCAGAGGATGCAATTATCCGGCTTACCAGGGAGATTGTTCCTGGTATGATTGTTACGGGAATGGAAGTTGCAGAGATTGATGGAGCCCCAAGAATGGTAAACTATCCTTCTGTTTAATTCAGTTTAGTGAATACGAGTATATTATTGTGTAAATTGTGTCACTGACAAAAATGGTGGTTTGATTTTGCAGGGGCCAACATTTGGAGCGATGATGATATCAGGGCAGAAAGCAGCACATTTAGCATTGAAGGCATTGGGGCAACCTAATGCAATAGATGGGACCTTCAGTGACGTTGAAAGAGTACAGCCTGAGTTTGTTCTTGCTGCTGCTGAGACAGACGAGACTGTTGACGCTTGAAAATATTTGATTTTCAGGGAATGGACTAAATAAAGAAAGATGTGGATGAAATTAGGCCGTTTTTGAAGTGGGTTTATAGGTTGGACGTAGACGAAAGGTGGATTTTTGCTTTGGTTTTTGGATAAATTGAATAGAATGAAGAAAAAAATATTTAGTCTGAGATTTTATTATGCTGCAAGCCTGCAACGCCTTTCATTGATTTTTCAAGTGCTTTTCTCTTATTGCATTTTGTTCTCAAATCCATCTTAAAAATTACTCAGGACTAATAATAAGTGTTTTTAAATTCAACTCTTGATTATACAATTTAGGTTCTAAAATCCAAACAGGTTTTGATTTGCTCCGACTGAATTTGTGTATCAAATCCACTTAAAAGAAATGATAGCAAGATCTTTTCTACCATGATGATATAAAAAAAGAAAAAAATGAAAGTTCATGTCAATTGGTAAATTGCAGTTTTAGAGTGTAAGGTCCAAATTCACCTTGTTGTGATAATGTGATCATGTCTAGCACTGAGAACGACGCCGTTTGGTTGGAGCTCAATGTCCAGACCAAGTCAAAGTCTTCCCTCACATGCCACTTTAAACCAAAACCCTTCTTCACCAATCTCAGAAACCAAACCCAAAAAAGGAAAAAAGAAGGAAATGGCGATCTTCTCCACTCATCTTTTCTTACTTTTGTTCATCACTCTTTCTCTCTTCCTTGTAGTTTCCACAGCTGGGTCCGAACCAGAGCTAGTAGCCGATCTCCTAACCCTTCAGTCCGAATCAAAATCAGGAGTCATCCACTTGGACGACCGAACCGTCTCCAAATTCCTAACCTCCGCCAAAACCCCTCGCCCTTACTCTTTCCTCATCTTCTTTGACGCCACCCAACTCCACGACAAGTCCGAACTCCACCTCCGCGAACTCCGTCAAGAATTCACCCTCCTTGCCTCTTCTTTCATCGCCAACCACAACAACTCCAACACCAAGCTCTTCTTCTGTGACATCGAGTTCCGCGAATCCCAATCTTCCTTCCACCTCTTCGGCGTCAACTCGCTTCCCCACATACGCCTCATAGGCCCCACCGCGAAATCCCTGAAAGATGACTCGGAACAAATGAACCAGGGCGATGTCTCCCGATTGGCTGAGTCAATGGCCGAGTTCGTCGAGTCCAGAACAAAACTCACCGTGGGTCCCATCCATCGTCCTCCCATTCTTTCTAAAAAGCAACTGGGTCTGATCGTTGCCCTTTTGTTAATTTGGTCTCCATTCGTCGCCAAAAAGATCTTCGCCGGCGAAACCTTATTGCACGATTCCAAAATTTGGCTTTCGGGTGCCGTTTTTGTTTATTTCTTCAGCGTTTCGGGGGCAATGCATAATATAATAAGGAAAATGCCCATGTTTTTGGTGGATAGGAACGATCCAAACAAATTGATTTTCTTTTACCAGGGTTCTGGGATGCAGCTTGGAGCGGAAGGGTTCGCGGTGGGTTTTCTTTATACAATTGTGGGGTTATTGCTAGCATTTGTGACGCATGTGCTTGTTTATGTTAAGGATGCGACGGCCAAGCGTGCGGCGATGCTTTTTGCGATTTTCGTCTCTTTCTGGGCGGTGAAGAAAGTCATTATCTTGGACAATTGGAAGACTGGATATGGCATTCACGGATTCTGGCCTTCCAGTTGGAATTAAAGGCTATATCTTTTTTGTTTTCTAGGCTACTATGAGGTGAATTATGGTTTTGATATTTGGAGAATTTAGTTGAGAATTCGATATCAAGTTTAGGTGTTTAAATTTATAACTTCGTTTGAAATTTTGGGCTTAAAGAACATTATTTGTTACAAGTTGACATCTTTTCTTGAAAAACCCCAATTTACTATAAGATTTTCAGATGTTAATTATAGTGTTCCAAGTACATGTGTCCAGTTATCTCAGTTTTTCTGCTGCATTAGGTTCTAGATTTATCCTAGATTTTTTGTTTCCCATGTTTAGCTTTGATAGTTTCTTTAAACCTTCTGATGCCAGTTCTCGTAGTGTATGAATGAAAGCTTTTGTGCACTAATAATCCTAATACAATCTTTGTTATAGTTACTGATGTTTAAGTTTTCGTTAAAGCAGAATTGGAAAAAATCTTGTTGGATTTCATACTGTAAGCTGAAATGGAATCCTATGGACATATGAGAGGCATAATTTAGGCTTGGAAAGGTTAATCAATAGGTTCTCCAGTTACTTCATAACTATGCTTAAGCCTCTTGGACAGGATCTTCCGCCGTTTGGTGTAGAGAGTACAGGATCCCCTTAACTAAGCTTAATGGCTCAGTTGAGTTCAATCCTTTGACGCCTTTTACTTGCCCTGACTGTTCTTAGGATTTGTTCATGTGATCATGTCTAAGTTCCCTGAGTTTGGCATCAAGGACCAAAGGTCATGGTCTTGTCAAGTCAGTGGCGCGTAAAAGTTGACGTTCTTGATGATCAATGAATCACATCTAGAGAAGTAAACTTCTTTTCTAAGATCTAATCTTCCAAAATGACTGAACATAAACTATGAAAGCGTTTTCTTTGCCTTATGTTCCATGTAGGGTGCAATAATTCCTAGGATGTCAGCAAACTGTTTAAGAGGAGCAGTGGGAAAATTTTAGGTCTTTTTGATGTAAAATTTGCTGGTTATAATCTCTTTCCATGTCTAGTTGTTTGTTTGGATTATCCATCTTAATGTATTTTAAATTTGGAAATTTTGATATGCCTATCCCCTGGTAATTGCAAACTAAAATTTGCTTATATATTTATCTTGATTGTAGTCTAGAAATTCTAAAATAAATTGTTAATTTGCGGTGCTCGATACTTGTTGTCTGCCCATAGTTCGTTGGGTTGTGCAAATTGGCCTGGACATAGGAAACATAAATCTCATGTTATTTCTTCATCATTGCTACTATTCATTCGATTTCTTGCATAGAATGCATTTGATTTTCCATTTGAATTGTGTCTTGTGATCAACTCATTCTCACAAAACAGCGCATGTTCTGGTAAGGCTTTGGAAGGTGCTCTAATATTCGTGAACCTGAATTCTTTGAGTTATTTTGGAGATCATTCAAAGTTGTCAGTTGGAGAGGCTGATTAAGAAGAGTGATTCAGTTGACTAGAGATACTTGTTCAGGACTCGGGAACCCACCATCTTAGTGCTGTACAACATGAGGCTGCTTAAAGTTGTAGGTATGTTGAGGCCCAAAGCAACTCTCAACTGTCATCAGTAGTTGTTTTCCTTGATCTCAACCAAGAGTGATTGTATGTGAAAAGCCATGAACATGAGACTTTGATTCTAAACCCAGACTAATGACTAGAGCCTCTTTATTCACAGCGCTTGAAGGCTTGCCTGTGTGTATTACACTTTCAAATGAAGCGTCAAAAGAGCAGGACCTGGATTTTTGCTCCTTGGAATTTTGGTTGTGGGAACTTGTTCCTTTGAATTTGCAATAGTTGTTGTTGGATGGTCTAGGTGTAATAGGCTGCCATACTCTATTTAAGGTAAAAAAGGAACATGTCTGTATACCTTCCACACAAAAAAGCAGAAAGACGGTAAAAATGGCATAGCCTTTCCATTTCTTAAAGATTGTAGCTCAGCTCCTATGCCAAAAGGCAGATGCCCATACTTTACAAGTAATCAATTCCAATTAGTTGATCACGGAGATGTGGTCTACTGGTTAAGTGGAGAAATAGTATCTAATAAAACACTCTTTGGTAACGTTTTTGGCATCCATCTAAAGGGGATTAGTTGATCAGCAAAAAGAATATATTCCAAACTTTCGGCCAACCTCCAAGTTAGAATGTGACTGCCGATGAGTCACGACCATAGGTAGGGCTTTTAAACATTCATAGAACGTGGATAAGGAAAATTGCATTTGGACGGCTAGAAAGGGCTCTGAATTGTGGTGACCTAAGTTTTAAGCCCCTTCCAGGTTCATGGATGCCATATTTAAGCCTTGAAGGAACATCTACTCCATGCTATTTCAATCCCTATGCAACTTTGCGTATAAATGCAGCGGTGTCGATTCCCCATCCTCCAATTACCATTGCACGCTTCATTTAGTAGGAAGAAATCCCAGCCCTTTTAAGCTAAAGGCAAATGAATTGAGGGCATTATAGTCATCTAGTGTTAACCCGGAAGACAGTCCAATGTCATCTTTCCTCTTTGGGTTGCTTAGCCCACATGTTATACTCTTAATGGCATAAAAATTTTCCTTATATTCCAATAGCATGGTGACACTGGGAAGAAGGGAACCTTTTGAGAGATAGCCAATGGAAGAACTAATTGATTTGGTAGGGAAAGCATTTGTGGATCATTACTACCATCTTTTCGATAATGATCGGCCAGCACTGTCTTCACTCTACCAGCCTTCCTCCATGTTGACGTTTGAGGGCCAGAAGATACAAAGTATTGAGGACATCACTGCTAAGCTTAACCAGTTGCCATTTGATCAATGCCTACATGTCATCAGCACCATTGATTCGCAACCTTCTTCTTTCACTGGTGGCATTGTTGTCTTCGTCAGTGGCAGCCTCCAGTTGCCTGGAGAGGAGCACCATTTATGGTTCAGCCAGGTTATTTCTTGCATTCTAAAGTTTTTCTCACTCTTTGTAATTCATTTGCATTTCACATTTTTGAATCTCTAATTTTTAATTATATATTACAGATGTTTCATTTAATCCCTTTGCTTGAAGGACACTTCTTCGTGCAGAATGACATATTCCGTCTTAATTATGGTTGAATTTTTTTCCATTCAATCATTATCATTTGTGTTGTAATTGATTTGTTGAATAAAAAGAAAACCAAGTTACTATGCCTCGCAATTCGTTCATTCCCCTTTATATTACCCTTTTCTACTATTATAAACAGAACGGTTTTGATTCCTGTACTGATATTGGTTTCTGGATGAGTTGGATCGGATCCTTTTAAAGCTTCTTGGGCTATGTTTTGATTCATTGTTCATGTAGGCCGTTTTGAATGGTGAATTGTTTGGGTTGGTTTATGAGTAACACATCTCTGGTCCAAAATGACAGCCCTCGGATTCTATGTTTCTGTTTACAAACGTGTAGCCCATGCACTGTCATGAAACACAGCATGATTGAATGCAAACAGAAGCTGCTACATTCATGTAAAAGAAAATTCTTACAGCATCTTGTTGCCACATCAGCCAAATAAATAGGAGAAAAACCCAGATGAGAGACAAAAGCAAACCCAGACAAAGCAAAATTGTTATGATAGAGAAGAATCTTGGATGTTTTGCTGGCGGATCTGATGTTGTTGTACGAACTTTTACTCATTTTTAATGTTGAAGTAGACAAATTTCTATGTAAGAAATAGAAGGCAAAAGAAAAGATGGAGTAGGTGACTGACTCAATCGCAATGTCGGGAAGAAGATCAATGAGCAATTCCATGATGGTTCCCATATTTACAAGAGGATATAAAATCCCCCACTTGGTTCTTAAAACGGCGGACTATTAATAATTAATCAGTTATCATGTCATTACTAGTCCGGAAGAGGCCAAAAAATTCACTGTGGCTGGGCTCATACAAGTTGGATCTTGGTTGAAATCTACTGGGGGGGCTTTTACACAAGGGCGAGCTGTAGAAATAGCTAGGCCTCTTTCAACTTCATCTGTTTGTTTGAAAATAAATGAGGGTTTTCCAGAATCCCTTTCACTGTAATATATTTTGCCAATGTACTAACATGAGTTATGGTTCAATGAAGTTCTAGTTCATTATCAACATAATCGATTGCTTTGAAGCAACGGTATAAAAAATTGCTGCTGTCTTACTCATCTACTAAACTAATTTGGATGGAAACCTTTCACTGACCTTAGTTTAGTTGAACTAAAGTGAGATTTGCTGAGTATTTAAATACTGGAATCCGAAAAGGAAAAGAAACGATTACATTGTTCATTTTCTTTTTATGATTTGACCATTAATAACAGTTCAATAATCAGATCATGTTTTCAACCATGGTTCTCTTAGATTCTTAGAGATACAGAAACAGACTCAAAACTCGCCTGGCCGTTTTCAAGGTGAGAAAGCACATTGCTATATCTGGAAACCATGAAATAAGGCTGTGTTTCATTTTCATTCTAAGAGACAGCTGCGCCTAACGTGGCTGCAACAATCAACATTTCCAAGCATAATTGAGCTGTATTAGATTGCCAGATGATGTAGTCAAGAAGGTAAGAAGAATATTGTGATGTCCAAGAAGAATTTTGTAAGCAAATTGAGAGGAAGACACTGTTAAAAAGCAGATTCAAAACCTTCCAAGAATTGACATTCGTATCAAAACCAGAAATATTTTTAAAGGTTTGACTATCCATGTAAACGGTATTAAAGATGAATTAAAATTGCTTGACAGTTATGAAAGGTATGTTCCTGTTAATGAACCAAATAAAAAAAAAACTGACTGTGGTGTTTGACTTTTGATATTTTTCCCCTAATGGACCATCCTTGAAGAATTAACATATTAATATAAGTAAATAACAAAAAAAATTTTAGTGCAAGTGTTGATTTTTTTGGTCAGATACAAGCGTTGAATCATGTCTTGATTTTTAATCTTTTTATTGACATTTGGTGGGTAAAATTTACAATTTTTTTAGGAAAATTAAACAATTTATCGACGGATGAGTAATTTAAGTGAAAAAAAAATTCTACTTCTCTTTATTTAAAGTTACAATTTACTGAAAAAATTGTAAAAAAAATAATTTTTTTATAAATACGTAAAAATACAGAAAAAAAAATCAAAATTCATTTACCGCTAAAAAAAAGTTCTGTACTTGGTCTAAGCTAACAAAACATCTTGAAAACTACTACTGTTGTCTATGAACTACAAAAGTATAATTTTTTTTTGTCTCTCTCTTCCATCTCTTCTGGATTTTGCCTGCATTTTCTTTCACAAAGTAGCCTTAAGGATCCGCACTTTACTCGCTCAACAACAAAGCACCCTACACCCCACAACAAATACCGTCGCAATCTTGTGCTTCTTAACCAAACTAACAAAGCCACCACCACATTTTTTTATGTCCTGACTCTATTCTTTGTTGTTTTGTTTGTCTTTCAAGACCCATATCTCACCTTCTCTTCTATTCCCTTTACAACCCTCTTCTCCCCATTCTCTTGAAGCCACCATTTTCCTTCATTTGCTTGCATTTTTCTTTCTCTCTCTTCCTCCTTGTTTGTTTCTTTAAAAGGGTTATTTGTCCATTTATCAAAAGTGATAGCAAACAAGATGAAGAATGGAACCTTGCATCAATGCTTAGAGGAGATGGAGGAGAAGTTGCTTCTCTCTTGAATCTTCCAGCTATCATCATCACCGTATTTTATACGTACGTTACATTTGTTTACTTTTACTCCTAAAAGATTGCACCTTTCATATATCTATCATCATAATTTGCTTTAGTTCCAATGATAGATACCAAACTTGTTTCACGGGTAATATAGTTCCTCAATCACATGTAATTACTCCTCTGATACGCAGCAACTTTTTGTCCTTTTGTATTGTATTTGTGTTTTTGGTAATTGCAAAATGCTTAAAGCAACAAACCCCATGCAAGTACAATCTCTCATTTACATAGAGGATCCTTCAACATAATATCATTCTCTGAATCAGCAGTTCCATTGTGTTCCTAGTCCACCATCATGGCTACCAAGATCAAAGGGATATACAAAGGTTTTAAATTCATTTCCCAAATCTTTGGTGAGGCCCTTTTTGTCTCTTTCTTTATACATTTCTCTATTTATGCACATGTAGATATATGAAATATGAATATGTTTGAGCATGTTTCTGGATTACTTATGTTTATGGTGATGGGTTTTGATTGCTTTGGAACTAAGGTGGGAAAGGGTATTGTTGTTGTAGTTGTGAAGGAGCGAGAGATGGAAATTAGGTATCCGACAGATGTCAAACATGTGGCACACATCGGTTGGGATGGCCCTTCTGGCACTGCACCGAGTTGGGTGTGTCGTCTATATTTTTTTCATTTCTTTTATCTCTACCCTGTTCAATATCTTGATTTAATATTCAAATACTACTATTTGTATAGGCCTAAGTGTGTTGTGTTTATCTCTTAATTGTTGCCTTGGCCTGGTAATTAATGCAGATGAATGAATTCAAGACAGGCCCTGAATTCACAGCAACATCAATCGGTAACTCCAGAGGTTCTAATCCTACTCCTCTTTCAACATGGTCCTCTCAAGGCATGTTTTCTCTCAATCTACCTTATTTAGAATACATGTTTTCAAAATGATATACTAATATGTATGCACGTTTAGATGTAACTAAATAACGGACAAGAATATGCAATACAGAGAATAGTAGGTAAGACCAAGGGTAACTTCCAAATTATGTATGCCTGAAGCATTGTCTGGTATCATGTGGAGAGCTCCTAATAAGACAATAGAGTCATTTCACGGGTCACATTGATAAGGGGAAATGTTTTTTGTCTCAATTTATAGACATGGAGGAAGATTTTTAGATGATTTGCTCCCAAAAGGAAGAGTTTGGCTCTTCTGTCACGGGACAAAACTTCCATATCAAGGGGAATCTATAGGCTACTAGTCCTAATTAAAGATCATTTCGGTTGTCCCTAGCAATAATTTTACTGGCTGGCTTTATAACTAACTTCTAATTTGATATCTTCGATATCACTTGTGGTTTCAATCAGAATTTTTTTATTGCACAATCTAATGAGTTGAGATGTTCTGTCTTCAAGCTGTTAAGCATTTAAGTTTTGATGATTTTCGGCCATCAAGGAAGCTGAAAGCGTTCGGATGTTGTGTTAAAACTATGAATCTACTGAGTGGGATACTTGGATCATTAATGAATCCAACTTAAACTAAATCAAATATCATTCAGATTCAAAGGAATTATATCAGAATCTAATAACATAATTCAAATTAAACTAATATGATCCATGAAAACTCTCTATTATGCGAAATATTGCAAGGAAATATTTTGGTAATAACTTATGTGTTTATTGGTAACTCTGTCTAACTAAACCACTGAAGAAAACCAACCAGCAGTTTTGTCTTTTGATCATTTGGCTGTGTTCTATTTGGAAAAATGTCCTGGGATTTACCTTTTTTTTTTTCTGTCCTGGTTTTGGTGATATATGTGAGTGATGTTTTTCTTTGTTGGTATTGTAACAAACTGGTCATTCTTCACAGAAACATTAGCAGTTTCAAATTCAAACCTTGTTAAAACTAATATAGCATTCTGATCAGGTCTTTCTTTATTTTGTAACAGATTTTGAACAATCAATGGGATGCCAACCTGCAACAGAGATGATAAGAGACCTGCCTTCGATGGATCTCCCTAATATTCCTAAGAAGCAAAAACGGAAAAAGAAGAAAACTTCCTCTCCGAAGTGTTCCTCCTCCAAATCTTCACGAACATCAAAGACCAAGGCAACATATACTCAATTGGACTCATCAACAGAACCTGAAATTTAGAGATCATCATGCAAGATTGTGGCATTTGATTTGAACTGATCAAACAATCAATACGCTCAGAAAAGATTGCAGAAGTTTCTTTCAGTGGTCAAGATATTTATAAAGACAACAAAGAAGTGTAGGAACTTGAATAAAGCTTGTGTAAATTAGAATTCATATTTAATTTGTAAAGGATAAAAGTAAATTAGGTGTGGATGATGACATGGACAAAAAAGAATGATCAACGTCCAAGGATGAGACTTATCTACAGGCAGAAGAAAATTGTTGGCTTACAATAAGGAATAATCATGGGAGATTGGTACTGTAGTTGTTTTGATGGAAACTGGAAAGTTTTGCTGATTCAGATTATTGGACTCGAACAAGTTTGTAAATTAAAAGAATCTAAATTTTTCATGTTGTGGATGAAATGACAGTCTATTTAAGATGCTGACTTCCAACCCTTCCAAGTTCATTTCACATGCAAGAATGTTATGCGGCCAGGGTTGCATGGAGATAGTTACCTCTGAAATACAAGAGCATTTTCTTGTTGACCTGAAATGACAGTCTATTCAAGCCACAAAAAAAAGAACAGATCCCAATGTTCCTGGAAAACACAGCAATCCATCATTTCCTTTAAAAAGAAGAACAAACCGCTGATTAATATGGCAAAAGGAGATGGATTTCCTTCAAGGGTCTTGCTCAATGGGGAAGAGTGTGCACTTCCTACACACGTATTCCAATCGGAAGTGGAAACCGATTCAGTGAAAGTTTGGTGCCAGTGCCACAACTTTTCCCAACTAATTTTGAGCTTCTTGTTAATAGAAATTCACAACAGAGATTGAGGTTTTCTTCCATTAGAACATTACAGCTTATATAAATATTATGGTAGGAATTTAATTAGTAGCTAAAGCTCCAACAGAAAACGACTCTATCCTAGCTCGAGCAAAGCATAACATTAGCACAACAATGATCATCTTTGCAGACAATTTGGCCGCCTGTCGTAATTTCATGAAAGATTTTGTAACTGGGGTTCTAATTTTACTTCATCAACGATTTTGCATGGAAAAGTGAACGTTTTCAACTTCCTCAAGTTGAAAGCTTCTAGTAGCAGCAGCTGTATCATCTCCATTTTGATCTAAACAGAGAACGTTGATTCTGTTTGCAAATCCAAATCAGGTTGTAATTGTCCGGAAAACTTTTCATTTTGTACTAACAGATACATTTATCACGTATATAAGAATTAATACAAGAAATCAAAGTTGTTGATTGATCAAAATATATAGTTGTCATTTGTAATAAAGAAAGTGCATTTGATTTTCGCCACATGAGAAAGGATTTGTGATATTATTTTGAATAGTGTGGACTAAATATCCAACAGTGTGGTGAAACATTTATTTTGAACAGTTATCATTTCAACCTCCAAATTGGCCCATTTTAGATTCTTCCCTACTTTGCTAGGGATTGAGCTTCAATTACTCAAAGTGATTGAGCATCAAGTACTTGAATAAACAATAAGATGAAGTTAATAAGAATATATGTGATGTACTACTAAATAGTCCTCAAATTAATCGGTCGAACAAGGTTCCCTCAACCTTTCGAGGGATCGTAGCAATTTCTCAAATTGGTAAAGAATTCATTATACATCTCATAAATACCAGAGAACCAAAGGCTTATAGTCGAATGAGCTCTGGTGAAGCTAATCAATGGAGATTGAGGGAGATAATAAATGAAAATTTCAGGTAGGACAGCATGCACATTGAAAACTCAGACAAGATTTTGTTTTCGTCAATAAATATCTTGCAGTGCTAGCTCACCAAACAGCAATTCACGTTGTTTTAACCCTTCAATTTTTTTTTTGTCCCGTCCCAACTTTGAAAGAGTTCGAATTATATAACTATATAAACGTAATTCGATCTTTTTGGTATGATATATATTTGAAAACAATGGTTCTTCTTTCGGTACGTTGATGAAAGGGAAACATTTCACCAAAGGTTAAAAAACCCTTCACACATGCCCCAGCCTGGGGTTCAATGAACTTGCTGATGAACTCCATTGATTTATCATAAAACATTTCACTTTTGCAACAACAACAAAAGGAAAATATAAAATGATATTCGTATTGAAATTTATTATTATAATTAACATATCATAATTCTTTTACCAAAACGAAGAAAAAAAAATTGAATTTAAGTTTGCGGTGTTTTTTATCTAATGTGTGGACATATTGAAGAACTTGACCGCTGAATTTCGAGTGATTAATTATCGTCTGATTTTCATGTCTAACCATAATTGAAAAAGACCACCTACAAAGTCAATATTCCATAATGTCACACCCATATTTTTATTTTCGTAGACAAAAGATGCAATCGAACAACTACCCGCACGCAAAATTAAGCAAAATGCTGGGTATATCAAAGGAGAAATGACATTTACACTGTTGCATCATTTTACTTGTTTTATTTATTTTTATATGTTATTGACAAAGGTCATATATACATAAAATTTCACACTAATTCCACATGTTGAAAATGATAATTATCTGTATTTGGCTGATGAGATGCTATTAAATTATTTTAAATGAATTTTTGTTATCTTTATTTGTTTCATGGAAATTATAAGAATTGCGCCATAGATTTTTGGTAGGCAAATGCAAGGGAAGCAAGGCAGAAGTAAATTGTGCTTTTCTGAATATGCAGAAGCAGAGCCTGCGTTCTTCAGACACATTTAGTGGAAGATGAAGACGAATGGGAAAGAGGAAATGTAGCTAACAAACTTAAGAGGATGTAGCCAAACAGTACATAAGTTGGTGGGTTGCATGAAAGCAAGTATTTCTGAGAAAGAACATGGCAGGTAATTTATGACTTTTAATTTGTTTGATAACTAGGCATATATAAAATTAATGAAGAAAGGCTTCTTAAATAAATGATTTTGTTTGATGATATATATATATATATATATATATATATGGGGAGAGAACTGGCTCCCTTGGACAGTGGACAGATCAAAAATTGAGTTTTCATTTGTTTAATAATGTAGGCTAGCTACTCTAAGCAAAAGGTCAATCCAATCTAAATTCTATTATCAAAAGCATACTCATAAATGCAATGCATTCATAGTAAGATTTAATTATGTTAGCCCCTCGAAAGATATGGATTTATCATGAATTCATGTGAGATTTACGGATTACGAGAGTGAATTGCTTTTTATTTAATATATATATATATATGAAAAATCAATATATATAATGTAAAATTAAAAAAGTTTTATATATTTTTAATTAATATTGATTTTAATATATTTAAGAGATAATATTAAATCATTTTTATTATTTTTTAATTTTTTTAGATTTATTAAAATCAAATATTAAAAAAATATATAAAAAATTTTTTAGTTTTATATTTTATAAGTTTATTTCTTCTCATTCATATACATATAAGGAAAGGTTAACTCATATTGATGGAAGAATTATATATATTTTTTATCAGTGAATTAGAATAATTAAATATAAGTGTTATGAATTTAATTTTGATCTAAAAATAAAAATATATATAACTTTTACACTAATATGAATAAATTTTTACTCTATATATACCTATTCAGATATATATATATATATTTATATTTTTTCTAAGATTTAGAACTCTACATTATATTCCATACATATATTACCTGCGTTTGCAATAATCTTATTTTGTTATACATTTATATATAATTAATCTATAATTGATAAATTTATTGATTAACATCTTGACTGGATATATGATTTGCATTTCCCAAGGAAAAGAGATACATGGCATAGCATTTTTTTCTCCTATCATCTGTTCGGTTCAATATTTGATCATTTTAAATAAAAAATTTAATTTTTTATCTAAAGAAAGAAATAATAAATTAATTTGTTCAAAAAATATAAATTATTAGTGGATATGGTTATATCCATTAGGGAAAGTATAGCTACTTTACTTGTACTCTACATTTTAATTTCCAAAAAAAAAAAAATTAATTACATCATTATCATAATCATATTTATATACTCACATATATTCATTACATCATCGTCATCATGATATATATGTATTAGTATTATTATGAAAAAAATTACAATTTTTAAATTTCAGTATCTCAATAATCATAAATATATATATATATATTTGTTTAAAGATTTTAACAATAGTGTGGTCAGTTCTGATAATTATTTTCTTTTGGATCTCCCTATATACCTCAAATGTTGTTGAATGGAGGCAATGATTATGAATATGTTCTAACTATCATAATTAAATTTTACTGGAAAATTAATTATTAGTAACATATTGAATCATATCTTAGTTAACATATATAATCATATCATATATATTATTAATATACACATTTATATTAGTTATATACCATATATCAACATTATATTTTGCAAAAAAAAAAAAAAAAGGCTTTCAGTGTCTCAATCAAATTTACATAACCTGCATTATGTCATAATTACTTATATAAAATAACGCTAAAACAAAAAATTGAAGTGCTCTCAATTAATCGATATGCTTACTGAAAAATCAATCAATATTTCTTTTAGTGAAAAAGATCAAAGTCTAAAAGAAATATGAAAAAAGAAATATTGGGGATAACTTCAACTAAGGTGGACGAATCAATATAAGTGTCGTTCAAAAACTGGTAACCCATCCACAATATTGAAACAGTGACAGTGATACTGAAAGCTTGGAGCCAAGAAGCTGTAATTCATCTCACCATACTCTTGCAAGTAAATTTAAACAAAGGGAAGGGAAGGGAAGGGAAGGGAAGGGAAGGGAAGATGCCTCACTCTTTCTCTTTCTGTTTGTTTGTCTTTCTATAATTTCTCTCTATCGCAATTACACCTCTCACCCTCCATAAATGCTATTGCAACCTCTGCAATAACTGCTCCTTAGCTACAGCATCCTCTCCACCTGTTTCTTCTCTTCAATTTCTCTCACCCTCTTCGAAGTCCAAACTTCAAACCCCCTTCTCTCTCTTTCTCTTTTGATTTTGTCTCCTCTTTTTCCTCTCTATCCTTGTTTTTCCTTTTTTTTCTTCCCTTTCTTTCGACTTCACAAGGTAGGTCTCTGTCAAAACCACTCCTCTTAACCGCAGAGTTGCTTTTTCCGGTGACCCCAATCTAAAAAACCCACTCTAAACCTTCTTTCATTAACCTTTGTGAATAAAGTTCAAAAGGGTTTCTTGTGTTTTGACCCCCAAGCCTGCTTCCCACTCTTAACTCACAAACTTATTCCTTGTTTTCCCCAGACCATTTTGTTAGCAGTATATCTATGTGTGTAACTTATATGCATATTTTCTCATTCTCTCTTTGATATCTCTTCTACGCTCTAGCTAGCTGGTTTTTTTTTATTTTTTCTTTTGAAGAAGATTTTCCGTTATTATTTTGCTGAGAAAGAGAGAGTACCAAAAGGCTTTTATATGGTACAGAAGTATCTTAGCTGAGCGTTACAATCTTTGTTTTGGGGGGTTTCAGAATTGGAGCGTCAAAGAGGTTTCTCATTGTCAACTCTGCTATTTTCTTTTTCTATATACAGTACTCTTTTTGCACGTAAGGCTGAAGACTTTTTGATAGACTAAAACTATAGTCATTTTTATTCTTTTGCAACTTGGAGTGATCCCATTAGCTTAGCCCAGAGAAAACCAGAGAATCTATTAAAATCAACCCAAAAACCTCCAATACTGGAATCCAAAGCCAAAACCTAACAAGCAAGAGAGAGAGAGATATGTGTGCTGCTAGTTAGGGGTTTAAAGGTGATTAGTTACCTATGTCTCCTAGCATGATGCTTCCAGTGAGCGACATATCGCCCCGTTTAAGGCAAGAAAATTGTTGATCTAAGTTCTCAGTCCCCTTCATCAACAATCTATAAGGCAATTCTCTTTCCTTTTTCCCCCTTTTGCTGCTATTCTTTATCTCCTAATTTCACTTATTCCATGGATATATAGCTAAGACCGTACAATTTAGTCACATTTTAGGGTAAGCTTTTGATTAATTTATCATTTGTGTCTTCATACTATATGCTGACTTAATTCTAATATATACTATCACTCTATTACGCCTAAACTTTTTCTTAAAAAGGGGGAGATATTCATTATACTATATGGTTTACAGCTCTCTCTCCATGGTTTACTTGCCCTAAAAAGTTTCTGCACTTCCATTTATGATGCACTGGTTTTGACTTGGTTTATCATCCTTCGTCATTTCCTTGTACTTGCTTTTTTCTTTTCTTCGTTTGTTACTCCTTTTCAGTATATATGGTTTACAGCTCTCTCTCCATGGTTTACTTGCCCTAAAAAGTTTCTGCACTTCCATTTATGATGCACTGGTTTTGACTTGGTTTATCATCCTTCGTCATTTCCTTGTACTTGCTTTTTTCTTTTCTTCGTTTGTTACTCCTTTTCAGTACTGTTCTACAGTTTCTTTCCCTGTCTTTTTTCTTCCCCTTATTAGCCAGCTTGACCTGTGTTTTCTCGGCAGAACCCAAAAATCCATTGCGCGAGTCGACATTTGAGCAATTCGTTGACATGTTCAGTCCAAACCTATTTGAGAGTCCCCATATTTTCGACATGACCCATAAGACCTCTGAAAGTGAATTAGTGGGGAAGATAAGGGACGATGATTACGAGACAAAATCAGGAACTGAAACCATGGATGCTCCCTCAGGAGATGATCAGGATCCTAACCAGCGCCCAAAAAAGAAGCGTTACCATCGCCATACCCAGCGTCAAATCCAGGACATGGAAGCGTAAGTCTTTTTTTTCCTTACCATCTCTATGTGTGCCATTGGGTGTTTATATACAAGAAATTAGAGATAAGAGTGAGAGACAGATTAAAGAAGCTCATTCTTCTTTGGAGAATTGATTCTTTTGGGTTTTTGAAACTTTGTTTCTCAGATTCTTTAAGGAATGCCCTCACCCAGATGACAAGCAAAGGAAGGAGCTGAGCCGCGAGCTAGGGTTAGAACCTCTACAAGTCAAGTTTTGGTTCCAAAATAAGCGCACCCAAATGAAGGTATACTTCCATAAATAGAGTTCAAATCAGGCTCTCATATGCTTGATATAAGTATTTATACTTATTGTCTATGTAGTAAGCTTCTTATATGCAGCACTTCTTAGCTTAACTGCTAAACTTCACCATCATTACAGGCCCAACATGAACGCCACGAAAATGCTATATTGAAGGCTGAGAATGAAAAACTCCGTGCTGAGAACAATAGGTACAAGGAAGCTCTTATCAATGCTACATGTCCGAACTGCGGAGGCCCAGCTGCTCTTGGAGAGATGTCATTTGATGAGCAGCATTTGAGAATAGAAAATGCCCGGTTAAGGGAAGAGGTGATTGGAAAATCTTACACACGTCCTTGTTAGCGTCAAGTTCCTTAGTTTGATTCTTATTCAATTTTTTTATTCTTCTGTTACAGATAGATAGGTTATCTGGAATAGCTGCTAAATATGTCGGCAAGCCTTCGACTTCCTATCCTCACCTTTCTTCTAATTTACATTCCCGTTCTCTTGATCTTGGAGCTAGCAATTTTGGAACGCAATCAGGGTTTGTAGGAGAGATGTATGGTGGTGGTGATCTTCTAAGGTCTGTCTCTGTGCCTACAGAAGCAGATAAGCCCATGATTGTTGAGCTTGCTGTTGCGGCAATGGAGGAACTAATCAGAATGGCCCAATCTGGGGAACCTTTATGGGTTCCTGGCGAGAATTCTACAGAGGTGTTGAATGATGATGAATACTTGAGAACTTTCCCTAGGGGAATTGGACCAAAACCTTTGGGGATGAGATCTGAAGCTTCAAGGGAATCTGCTGTAGTCATTATGAATCATGTCAACCTAGTTGAGATTCTCATGGATGTGGTAGGCTTTTCTTTTGAAGTTTGGATCCATTGTCTAAATATTTAGATCCACCCCCCATTCATTTCTGATTTAAATAATTGATTTTCAGAATCAATGGTCAAGGGTGTTTTGCGGTATTGTTTCAAGGGCTATGACTCTAGAAGTCCTCTCAACTGGAGTAGCAGGATACTACAACGGGGCTTTGCAAGTGGTACTAATTAGTGGTTCATATATATATTCAAAACTATGCATTCAATCTAATAATTTTGTCATACATGAAATTGTGCTAGTTGAAGACAGAAATTAAAAGGTACTACTTAAGGGCATGCATTTTCTTCATTTAGCTTTTGAAAATATACCTAATATCCTGCATTTTCAGATGACAGCTGAGTTTCAGGTCCCTACACCACTTGTACCAACTCGGGAAAATTATTTCTTGAGGTATTGTAAGCAGCACACTGACGGAACTTGGGCAGTGGTTGATGTTTCCTTGGATAATTTACGCCCTAGTCCACTGTCCAAGTGTAGAAGACGGCCGTCAGGTTGTTTGATCCAAGAATTGCCAAATGGATACTCAAAGGTAAATTACTCTTTGTTTCAGCATATTTACCGCATTCTAAGTTGCCTTAACTCTTTCGTATAGATTAATTCCCCTGTTCATTCCCTGTCTAATCATGGCAGGCAAAATCTTCATTTACTCAAGCCATGTTTAATTTCATGATACCTGCAGGTTATATGGGTTGAGCATGCAGAAGTGGATGATAGAGCTGTCCACAACATATACAGACCATTAGTTAATTCTGATCTAGCTTTCGGGGCAAAACGTTGGGTGGCTACATTAGATCGACAGTGTGAACGTCTTGCAAGTTCAATGGCCAGTAACATTCCAGCAGGGGATCTATGCGGTAAAAGCATATTAACGCCTTTTCTTATTCTCCTTGAGAAACCTTTTAGAAGTGATAAATTGCCAATGGTTTGCACTTCATTTTCAGTTAAGTTACTATTTCAATTCTTGTTCTGCAGTTATAACAAGCCCAGAAGGGAGGAAGAGCATGTTGAAGTTGGCAGAAAGGATGGTGACTAGCTTTTGTACTGGCGTTGGTGCTTCTACTGCACATGCTTGGACAACTTTATCAACAACAGGTTCTGATGATGTGAGGGTTATGACCAGGAAGAGTATGGATGATCCAGGCAGGCCTCCTGGTATTGTGTTAAGTGCTGCAACTTCCTTCTGGATCCCAGTTCCACCAAAGAGGGTTTTTGATTTCCTCCGGGATGAAAACTCTCGAAGTGAGGTAAACGAACATAATCATGAAGCTTTCAATTAAGCATTTGCACAGTTGCTTCTATCACCACATGCAGCAACAGCAAAGAAAAAGGGCCCAGATAGTACTATATGATTGTTCGCTTGTTGGAAAAAAAAAAGGCGGCACTGACTTGGGAGAATTCAATCATTTTGTCATCATTTTTTTGGATAATTGAGAAAGTTTCAATATTTTGTCAACATGATTGATTTGAAAAAGATAGCAATCATCATATCGCACTTAACAAATGTTTTCTTATGCCAGTCTTGCATTTCAATATTTTCTCTACATTGCATTTGCCAAGACAATGGTGCATTCTTAATCATACATGTAGCGCTCTTTTTCTGTTAAAATATTGTACTAATTAATTTGCACTTTTTAACTTGAATTTTTAGTGGGATATCCTTTCAAATGGTGGTCTAGTTCAAGAGATGGCTCACATAGCTAATGGTCGTGATCCAGGCAATTGTGTCTCCTTATTGCGCGTAAATGTATGTTAAATTTCCATTAAGTTAACATTGGTAATCCTATCTCAATAAATATATCAATATTCTTTAAGCTAACCTTTCCAATTGTAAACTAATCTGTAGAGTGCAAACTCTAGTCAAAGCAACATGTTGATACTACAAGAGAGCTGCAGTGATGCTACAGGGTCCTATGTGATTTACGCCCCGGTCGACATTGCTGCTATGAACGTGGTCTTAAGCGGCGGGGATCCTGATTATGTTGCGCTTCTACCATCAGGTTTTGCAATACTTCCTGATGGTCCCGGACTTAATAGTGAAGGAATTCTAGAAATCGGTTCCGGTGGCTCTCTCCTTACTGTTGCGTTCCAGATTTTAGTTGATTCAGTTCCAACAGCTAAACTCTCTCTAGGATCAGTGACTACTGTCAATAGTCTAATTAAATGCACAGTTGAAAGGATCAAGGCTGCAGTAATGTGTGATCATGCTTGAACGTATCAAAAGAGTTATATATGGTAAGCAATCAGCTATTAATTTCTTTTCTATTTTTAGAGTTTGGAATCTATCCCATTTCACATTGGTATTTTCTCCCCCCTCTTAACCTATGTTCTTTGTATGTTGAGCAGGAACAAGAGGAGGAAGAGAAGAGAAAAGAAATGATGTTTGCCTCAAAACATAAGGAAGAAGTCAAGAACGCACCTTTCATGATCCTTGCATCGTGGTGTTTGTAAGAAGGCAAATCGCCACCCTGCAAGGGTAATAGGTTCGGGAATTGACTTTGCCAAACAAGGGTAATAGGAGAAGTCGCCATTTTGTGACCTTAGGGCTAAGTCTATAGTAAGACTGAGAGTTAACGTAGGAATATAATGGTTATATTATAAATTGTCTAATTTCCTTTTCCTTCTTTGGTTTCATGTGTTTTTGTTGAAGGCATTGGTTGGACTCACACCCCATTAGAAAACATTTCTTTCTGCTTTTATGTTTTGGTGGTTTTGAAATTAATTAATGAATAACTGTTGCCTTTGCTAATTTGTCTTATGCGGCAATATATTAAGAATTTACCTTCTTTCCCTTCCTTCTCGTGTCATCACGCACCACTCACTGGCCACTGGCCACTGTTACGCCACGTAAATCTACACAAAAAATATATATATAGGGAAAATATCTACATAAAAAACTTTTAATATGTCAATTTACATAAGAAAATAACAAGATATATAACATAGTAACTTGCTAAATTTAACTTTGAATTAAAAAAAAAAGGAGTAAAAGGAAAAATGAAAAGATCAGAGTTGGCATCAACAATTGTGTTAATTTGTAATATCCACAAAAAAATAAAAAAATCAAACAAATTTTGGTAGGTTTCCACTAAATATTCCCAATCCAAGTCCCAACCTGCGGCAAAAAAAGCAAGTCCACGACCACCTGGGAAGGAGCGGTTGTGTCTGTCCCAATAGTTTTTACGTTATGTGTAGGGCACATCACTATTGCATAGTATAGGGAGAATTGAAAATGTAGCGCATAGTATCTTTAACTTTTCATTTCAACCAAAAGTGGTTGAAACTAATTAATAGATACCAAAATTTTTCCATCCCTGAAGCTGAATCAATCAATGCTTAATGTTGTGATCCTGCCGGTGCCATTGTTCAGACAGAGATGTAAATAATAATTAAATTTCCGAGCATATACAGTAGAAATGAATTGCCTCCTTTCATTTTTGTCTGGGTTCAGGCTCATTTCCATATTCAATTCAGTACTCTTGCGTTTATGGTCGTCCTGCAATTCGAGCTTCTCTTCTTTTCAGCCTTTGCTATAGTTTTTTGATTTTTTAACTAGGTGATAAAGCTCCATGTCTGGAAAACTTTCAATTCAGATGCATGCTATAGTTGCTATATACAGACGAAAACTTGGAATGTCTTTTATAACATGTACATCACTAAACAACTTGGGTCATTTGAATTTCTTATTTACAACCGGGATAAATCATCCCCAAAAACATTTTCCATACACATCCATTTATCCTTTGCAACTCCAACTTAATTTATTTTCCAACTTTGTTGTATATAAGCATAAGCATATTCTATTATATGTGTCCTAAAAATAAATATAATTCACTTCACCTTAATTTCCACTTGAATCAAGTTGAAATTAGCAGTTAAACTAACATCTCATTAATCCATTAAAACATATCTTCGATATTCTTTAGCAAATCAAGGAGAAGATGGAATGAAAAGCCAAGGGATGCTGACGAAGGAATTGTTCACCAAATTGTTTAAAACAGTACACTAAATATCTGCTAAGAGAGAAAACTTGCCTTTTGTGCTGCAATAAAACCTTAGCTAATTATTTGATGACGTTTGGTTGCGCCCCTAGGCAATATATGTGCAAGTGACATATGATGGCCGTGGAGCCGCAGACTACAGCTGCAAAACATTGATATTTCTGTTTCACCACCATATTAAATTGCCATGGTAACAAATACAATGGCAACAGTGAGGACTAAAACAGATAGTTGTGTGCTGCAGTAGCCATTAATTTTGTCAAATGAAGATCAGCTACCAATATTTTTAACTTGTCAGAGAAACTTAATAAAGAATAGACCATACCTATCTCAAGTCTCAACTTTTTATCAAGCCGAATGATTGATGATGATCAGAGAAATTGATTGCTCAAGACTTAAAACCAGCTAGCAGCCTTGCTTGATGCTCTTCTTGCTGTCTGGCTTGCTCACTTTTAGTATATATCTTCATCTCTATTCTGGCCTTCTTCTGCTATAAGCAGATAGAAATCGAAGCGAATGGATAGATATCGGTGTTTCTTGCTATACCGGTGTGCCTTTATTGAATTCATGAGAGAAATGAAGCCGGTTAGTTTTGCCTCGCTTTTTCTAATGGATGACACTGCCTAGCTAGTTAAAGTTAAGAATCAACATACCCATCTACTTTTTCTTCTCCTCAATCTGGTTCCTGTAAATACCGCTAATTCATGACCGGAGGATCCAATTTAGCTTTGAAGGTTATATGATCCATGACCACAACTATCAAATTAATATATACAATTGAACTTTTTATATTGTCAAGTTGGCAATGGAAAAAATAAATAAATAAATAAATATATATATATATATATATATATTGCTTTGATGAAGGATGCCGGGGTCCTTGTAGGATGACAGTACTGCTAGCCAAAGTTAAAATTTAGCAGGACCACAAAGCTCATGTGGGAATTAAAGCAGAGGCAGAGCAAGCATAAGCAATTCTTTTAATACCTGTCCGGATGGCTCCACGAATTTATATCTGTTCATCAATAAGCAATGTCCACATTCGGGACATCTCGAACACCCCAATCCCATATTAGATATTGTGAAGATTCGTTATAATATATAAATTAAGATCTAAATTCGTACTTACAAAATTTTTTGTGTCATAAAAATACGAGATTTTCAGATTTTCATAAATAAAATCAAAGCAATAATCAATGAGAAAAAATTAAATGCTATATTATAAAAGTAACCTTTATAATTTACTAAATTTAATAACTATAAAATGAAAATTATTTATAAAATCTCAATGTTTAATTCTGATTTTGAATATTCCATGATTCTATTTTTTGTACTAGATTTCGTGAATTAATTTGAGCTTGTTTCGGCCATGCTTTTGGATGGTTCGTTCCTCCAAAGGCCAGAATGTCATAGACATATCAGACATGCTCTCTCTCAATACAAGCCCAAGCTCAATTTGCCATACTGGAATTAACTTAGGCTGGGTCACTCTGTGATAGGTTCAGACCCAAAAGTTATAACAACCAGCCCGTACTGAAAGAGGACATAGCAAAAAAAAAAAACAAATTACATACGAAAAATAACTGGAAAGCCAATGTTATAACGAAGCAACTTCACAAACTAGAATCCAAAAGCCTTAATCCCCAAATCTGACAATGTTAGAAAATTCAAACAATTAGCACTACCATGGAGGGATTCGGTTCCTTTCCCCCTCACAAACTAGAACCTAAAACCCTTAAAGATCGAATCTTATGATGTCCGAAAATCAAATCAATTAATTAAAATGAAAAATGTCAATCAATTAATAAAGATATTGGTTGAGATAACTGTTATAATTGTGTGAAAAAAAATTGTTAAAATGTAAAATTAATTTTTAAAACAATATTTAATTATTTTAATCAACTTGGGTTATCAAAACGGAAAAAAAAAAAATGGTCGGCACTATGCGTGGTCGGTCGGCTACAGTACGGATGATAGTGATAGATAGAAACATTTGACTCATGAAACTCGTGTTTCTGGAGTTTCAGAATTCAACTGCGGCGGACAACGGCGGACGACACGCTCACTTCTACCGAGTGAAAGTGAAATCATTACGCTCTTTTCCGCACGTTTTTTTTTTCTTTTATTTTTCTAAGCTCAATAACTAATTGTAATATGTATAGCACCCTTTTTTTCTTTTTTTAATTAAACTCAATAATCAATATATATTATTATACTATAACATACATAAGTATTTTGTAAGGATTATCATATAAATGTTTGTGTAAATAATTTTTTTTATGATATGGAGAATAGTTTTTTTTTTAATATAAGTTTTTTAATTACAAATTATATAATTTTGAGTTTATTCAAATATCAAAATTATTTAAATTATAATTATCAATTAAATTAATTTAGAGATATTTTTTAAAATTATAAATTTAAAAGATAGATTTTATCTAAATAATTTTAATTTTTTACCAAATAACCTTATCTTATAAATATTTTATTATGAAAATCTTTCATCATGTTTTAAAACTACAAAAATTAAATTTATTCAAATCTTTCAAAAACTCATTATATTTTTTATTTTTATTTATATTACAATAAAATTTATATTTTTAAAAATTTATGTAAAATATTTAAAATTCAAATAGTACTTTCTTATTAAATCTTTAAATAATAAGACGTATCTTCATATCAATTCTAACTATAAATTTATATTTTAAAATAGACAAAAAATTTATTTAATTTTTATTACTTATTATATTCTTTTAATTTTTTTAAATAGTAATTTGAAAATTATTTATTCAATCTCAAATGTTATCTAAGTTTTATTCTACAAACTAAAAACTATAAATGCAATGTGTTATATCATTTTTTTTATTTTTCAATTTACAATCTTTTAAAATTCTATTGTTATTGTAACTTATTTTTTTCGTTTGTATCCTTTTTTTTTTCAAGATATATTCTATTATTGCAAGTTTGTTTTTATGAAAATTAATATTTTTTAATTTATTTTTGTCACACATCTCTTAATATTTTTCTTATTTTATATAACAATTTGAACAATATTATAAAAGTGAAAGCATGCCTATACTTTTTTATTATTTAATTCATTATTCGATAATAAATATGTTTTTGTTATTTTAATAAAGACATGTAATTTATTTTTATTTGATATAAATTTTAAGTGTATAAATATTGTTGTAAATAAAGATAGTGTGAAGTTAAAACATACCCTTTTTCTCTTGCTTTTTAATAAAAAAAAATTATGACAAGTTAATCAAATATAAAAATTTATATATATTATAAAATTTTAAATTTTAAATATAATTTAAAATTTAATTTATATTTATATAAATATAAAATAAATAAAATTATTTTGTGCATCGCATAGGTCACAATCTAATTGAATTCGATTTAGATTTCATAGTTGATGTATAATTTGATTATTTTTTTAGATAAAATTGTACTTTATTTAGTCAAAAGAAAAGAAATAGTTTGTATACAACTATAATATGACTACTTTATAATATTGCAACATGTAAGAAAATGATAGAACATTTAGAAGCACGATTTTTTTCTTTTACTTTTTTTTTTAACTCAATAATTAATGTATAATCTTTTTGTTAAAAAAATATGAATTTGATTTTTTAAAATAAAAAAGAGAAAAAAAATAAAACTAGCATCAAATGGTGATTGAGTTTGTTCTTCTACGTTATCTCTTATCTTCAAAATTCTTCAATTTATTCTACTTGTTTTATAAAATTTAATCACAATTGTTTTCTGTTGAGATAAATATATTCTTTAAAATTTACTAGTGGTTTAAAATATTTTTTATGATCAATTAATACATTATTAATAATAATTACTAGCTTATGATCAGTACGATGCATAAATTAATTAATTTATTTTATTTGAAGTTATAATTATAAAATAATATTAAATTTTAAACAAACATATGAACAAAATATAAAGATATTATTCAAAAGTATTAAATTCCTTATTTTTAAACATTTTTAAGTAGAAATGGATGTGTTAACCTTAAATTGATCTTTATTTTGAAATGACAAAATATTAAGTTAAATAAGCTTGATTAAGATTTTGAAAAATATTTATTTAATACAAATTCTTAAGTTTGGACTCAATACAAATTTGATAATATTGATTTTGAGAAATAGATTAATTTAAAAAATTTATTTTACAAGAATAAAATTTTCTAACATTGACTTGTTTTATTTTATTATATTAATTCATAAATTTTTAATATTTGAATTTTATATGATTGAAAAACTCTTTAAGTTTACTTTCTAATGGATTAAACAAAATTAAAATCTAAATTTTATAAGAAAAGATTTTGAATTTTTACTAGACACTTTATAATTGTCTAAAAATTGCACAAAGAGTAGATTTAAAAATTCACTATAATTCGTATATAATGAATTAGGTGATGAATTTTATATGAATAAAAAGCCCTTTAAGTCTAGTTTTTAAATTTTCAAACAATTTTTTTTTTGGAATTGTATAACTCAAGATATGATCAAATTAGTAAGTAGAATATAAAGCAAAAGATAATCACCTAACTTGACCAGATCGATCCCCTCCTTGTATGGATCGATTGGTTCTAGGTTTTTATAGATAGGATCAATCCCTTAAAAAAAGGATCGATTGGATTTTTTATCCAGAATAAAAATTTTGCTTCAAGATTTGAAAATAGATCGATCACCCATATTAGGGATCGATCGATACCAAAAAAAGGATATATTGATTGTACCTTTTCATGCATAAAGTTGCTTTTTTTTTTTAACTAACCCAATCAATCCTCCTTAAGAGGGATCGATCTCCTTTTGCCCAAAATGTTCCAACGATTAGTTTTTCAAATTTCAATGGCTATTTTCAACTCCAAACCATTCCTAAATGGCTAGTCTCTTTTATATATATATATATTGGGCACTCCAACACACCAAAAATATTAATGAATAAAAAAAAACAAGATCAAATAAGTCATATTTTCATTCTCTTAAAGAAATCAAAAGTTTTGAAGCTTTAAAAGCTATAACTTTGTATTTGTTATATCAAAATCATTGTTGTTGTTCATTCATCAAATTTTTTTGTACTTCATTAGAGAAACACTCAATTTTTAGAGGTATTTTAGTTTACAACAATAATTTAAGGTTATCTTGTAAATAAAAGATGATGTATCTTCTTGATATTGTAAAGGTAAATATTACTATTTAAACCTTAAAAAAAATATAAAAATTTAGTATAAAATAGGTTTGTATCTTACAAGATTTTATTCTTCAATTAGTGAATTGAAGTATTGGTGTGGGTAACAAGAAAGAGATGACATACGTGCCTTATAGAAAAAGATCAAACCTTTATAAATCATTATATTTGATTTTTCTATTCCTATCTTCTTCATTTATTATTGTTTATATTTGATTATAAGTTTATTAATTATTATTGATTGCATTATATTTTTATCAAAAGTGCTTATTGATTTAATTCTTTGTTCAATTATTTTAAAATCATTGTTTTGAAAAAATTTAAAGAGATCCAATTCACTCATCTCTTAGAGTATCATTTCACCTAAAAAACTAACAAAACGGTTGATCTCTTCATAAATTATTTTTTAAATTTATATAATAGTCAATTTAAAACTTGAAAATGATGCATTTAAATTTACAAATAATAAAAAGTCTCCAAAAATAGACACTTTCCTTTGATTAAGGATATAAATTGGATAATGCTTCAAAATAGAATAAAGTAAAAATTAATTAAATTATCATTTAGAATTAAAAATATATAATTTCATCTTTACTTCAATATTTACTTGTTTATATTGAGATATCCCTATTTGATGAAAAAAAAAATTGTGTTACAAAGTTAAAGAAAATAATATTTTTTATTTATGGACAATTTAATTCAAAACGTAAAAAAGTTGTAGGTACTTAGAAATAATTTTACACAAATTTTAATATGTTTGAAAATTTTTAAACTTAATCTTTGCTAATTTTATTTTTAAATTTTTTTTAATTTTATAATTTTAATAAAAATAATGATCAAAATTAAATTTATTTGACTCAAAAAATCGATACAAGACAAACATAAGCGGAATAATAGATGCTGTAAGTCATAAATTGCATAGAAATTATTTTATAATATTGTAAATAAATATATCATATATACACGTGAAATAAATAAAATTATTTTATGTATCACATGAATTATAATTAATTAATATATAATTTCTCTATTAAAAAAAATAAATTCGATTTAGACTTTTATAGTTGATGTATAATTTGATGATTTTGTTTAGATAAACTGTATTTTATTTATGCAAAGAAAAGGCAAAGTTTGTGTACAACTTTAATACGATTACTTTATAAGATTGCAACGTGTAAGAAAAGGATGGAACATTTGGAAGCACGTTTTTTTCTTTTACCTTGTTTTTTAAAACTCAATAATTGATGAATAATTTTTTTTTTGTCAAAAAAAATGAATTTTCTTTTTTTTTTTAAATAAAAGAGAGAAAAGAAAATTAACTACCATTAAATGGTGATTGAATTTGTTCCTCTACATTATCTAAGAAAAGGATGGAACATTTAGAAGCACGTTTTTTTCTTTTACCTTATTTTTTAAAATTCAATAATTGATGTATAATTTTTTTTTGTTAAAAAAATATGAATTTGCTTTTTTTTTTTTAAAAATAAAAGAGAGAGAGAGAAAATTAACTACCATTAAATGGTGATTGAATTTGTTCCTCTACATTATCTATTATCTTCAAAATTCTTCAATTTATTCTACTTCTTTTATAAAATTTAAACACAATTGTTTTCTATTGAGATAAATATTTTTAAAAAATTGCTAGTGGCTTAAAGAATTTTTTAAGATGAATTAATATATTATTTATAATAATAATAATAATAATTTTGTATTAAATATAATAATTAAATCCTAGAAAAGTCAACTCACTCTGCCTCAGTGGCTCTTTGGATATCTACGATGTTGAGGAATTTAAGTGGGCCAAGCTGTAATCTACTTGTCTTTACTTTCATCCTAACAAAAATGAATGGACATTAATTTTGTAAGAAGAGTTCCGATATCTGTTCCAAATGTTTTTGTGGCAAACAATGAAGGTCTGTCGATGTTACTAAGAAAGAGCAAACGACCATGGACTTTTCTACCGTAACCCATATTAGATCTATAAATACCCACACCACTCATTCATCGTATTCAACACTCAGAACATATATTTTCTATCTATTTTATCTCAGAACATATCTTTTCTATCTATATTATCAAAATTTTACGGACAACGCCATGGCTTGCAACATCAAGGCCCTTTCCCTTAACCACCAAATAGTTTCGAGTGCCAGGAATCTCACTGTTGATAGGAAAATGGGCACTGCCTCCGCTGTTTCCGTGCCAGTGTTTCCTGATACAGTGACCAAAACGACCACTTTGAGTATAAAAAATCCTCAGTCGACGGAGAAATTACTAACTAAAACCGTTGATGGAAAAGAGGTTTATAGTCAAGGGAAATTTGGGAGGTTTGGGGGAAAGTTTGTGCCTGAGACACTCATCAGTTGTTTGGGCAAACTTGAAGCTGAGTTCAACTTGGTTTTGCATGATTCTGAATTTCAGGTTTTATGATTGATATTGGATCCCAAAAACAAACAATTATTTCGACTCTCTCCTAGGATTTAAATATAACAGTGAGTTCTGGATCATGTCTTGCAGGAGGAGCTCGCTATAGCATTAAGGGACTACGTTGGAAGGGAGACACCTTTATACTTTGCTCAGAGGTTGACGAATCATTACAAGAACAGTAAAGGCGAAGGACCAGAGATTTATCTAAAGAGAGAGGATCTCAACCATGTTGGTGCTCACAAGATCAACAACACGATAGCGCAGGCAATGATTGCCAAGCGCATGGGTCGGAAAAGTATTGTGGCTGCCACGGGCGCTGGCCAACATGGAGTTGCAACAGCTGCTGCATGTGCAAAACTTTCTTTGGAATGTACTATATTCATGGGATCCGCAGATATGGAAAAACAGGCTTCTAATGTCCTATTGATGAAGCTGCTTGGTGCTAAGGTTAGCTCCAGTATATCTTCTTTTTCTTCACCTTCTGATAGCAAAATTTTGTAATTTATTGATCAGCACAGAATATTACTATTTTACTATATATATTCTAAGTAACTTTTTGTGTTTATGTTTCATTATGACAATCTGATACAGGTAGAACCTGTTGAGGGAACATTTAAAGATGCGAGTTCACAAGCTATTCGGGAGTGGGTAGGGAACCTGGAAACAAGCTATCACCTGATAGGAACAGTAGTGGGGCCTCATCCGTGTCCGACCATGGTACGTGAATTTCAATCTGTCATCGGAAAGGAAACGAGAAGGCAGGCGATGGAGAAATGGGGTGGCAAACCAGATATACTTGTGGCTTGCGTAGGGAGTGGGTCCAATGCTTTAGGTTTATTCCATGAATTCATAAAGGACGAAGATGTAAGGCTGATTGGGGTCGAGGCTGGGGGGTTTGGGTTGGACAGTGGCAAACACGCTGCAACTCTAGCAAGAGGAGATGTAGGTGTGTATCATGGAGCAATGAGCTATCTGTTGCAAGATGAGGAAGGACAAATTTTGGGGCCACATTCTATTGGTGTAGGGTACGTTTTTGACTTTAGTGCTTCTACTTTTCTTTTGCACCTTTTTTTAAAGTTATTCTTTGAATAAAGACAAGAAAATAACTAATAAAGCACCTGTTGGAAAGTTTTTGTTAAATTAATTGAATTTATATCACATGCAGGCTAGAGTATCCAGGGGTTGGACCCGAGGTGAGCTTTTTAAAAGAAACAGGTCGAGCAGAGTTTTATTCTGCAACCGACAAAGAAGCCATTGATGGTAAGCCATATATTGCATCAAGTCAATTTTTTGTTTTAACTGAAAAGGAATTAACTGACTCTGTTTCTTAACATTCAGCATACCGACGACTTTGCCAATTGGAAGGCATATTTCCAGCCTTGGAGGCCTCTCATGCATTGGCTTTCCTGGAGAAACTATGTCCTAGTCTAGCCAACGGGACCAAGGTTGTTGTTAATATCAGCGGCCGTGGAGATAAAGACGCTGACATAGTCTTCCAATACGAAGCCGATCGACTTAGTGGTTTAATGGCTTAGTATCAAATTATTGATTCTAATTATCCACTGCCGATGAATTCCTAAATAATTGTAAAGAGGAACTTAGAATATTAACTGAGATGATTATAGTCATGGATCTAGCTATGGATAGGGATCTCATGCAAGTAACGTATCAAAATATTAGCATACGTATGGTATTAAAATTAAAATTACAAATATTTATTTTTATTTATTTATGGTTGAGTTGTATGAATGAATGATGTTAAATTTATAATTAAACAATATTTTACTACAAAATTTTTAATATGTGAAGATTAAGTTTTTCGATTAATTGAATATCTTTAATCCAAATTTTGGAGAGCTAAGATTAGTTTATAATATGAAAAAAAAAATTATCATTAGCCAAATTCCAAAATTCAATGAGTTTCAATTTTTATAACAGAAAAAGAAAATAAATTTCTACCTAATTGAATTATTGAAAATTCTTCCTTGTTATCATACATACAATAATGCTTAATGAAATTTTGCAAGATCATGTGATGCAACAAAAGAAAGAGGAAAAATAAAGAGAAGACATAAACATAGTACAGTATTATATATTTAATTATTTATAACTGATAGTAATGAAAGAATATATATTATATATAAATGAATCTTTCTGATCATACAAGCCATACGAAAATAACAAAAGAATCCAACATATATAAGAATAAAGTTATATTATATTGCATGACAGCGACTTTCGGAAGAGTTTGTTAAATCGAACGTTGATTGTACAAATTTATATAGGGATAGTTCAGGTGGTTTGTTTTTTTGAGTTCATCAAGACATTGGATCAATGTTCAATTATTAAAGTGAATAATTTAATATTTATGTATTTATATTATATAAAATAATAAAATTTATGTATTTATATTAAATTTTATATAAAAATATAAAATATATTATGCCTACCTACTATTTACAAAGATGGGCAAAACTACTAGTCATATGATTAAATCTGGTAGCTGCTATGCTCACTGATTACAAAGATGGCAGTACGGGTGTTCATACGATACCAGATTTTAGGACCAATAATCTCGGAAAAATGTTCCGTCACAAAATTCTATCATTGATAATGGCCAACAATGATGGATTTTATGACAAAAATATATGTGAATGATTTAAATATGTTACGAAAAAATTAGCGACAGAATCGAAACGTATTTGTGACAAAATTTTTTTTATTTTTAATTAAATTAATCGATTAAATCTATTTAATTACGTTGAATACAAAATTAAATTTCAATTGATTATAAAAAATTGATTTTGAAAATTTTTTAATTTTTTATTAATTAAACCCAAAAACCAAATTAAATTAATAAATAAAAAATTTAATAAAAATTTAAAAAATTTAAAAATAAAAAATATATATAATGGAGCATTTCATTTATAAATTGTTAGAATTTTTAATTTAATAATTTAATATTTTATTAGATAGTTTTATTTAGTTTATTTCAAATATTAAAAAATTAAAAATTAAAATATAATTTAATTTAAATGCATTTTATTTGTCGATAAATTCAAAAATTAATCAAATTAACCAAATTAAATTTAATCAATTAAATTTTTAAAATTTTCAAAATTTGATTTATTTAATAAAATAAAATAATTCAATTCTATTTTGAATAATTCAATTCAAAATTAAGAAAACTACTCAATTGTATGTTAAAAAAAAGAGGAACAGGGGGATTAATTGTTAATCTGTCTACATTTATTGCAATGAAGAAAAAGTTAAAAAAAAAAAAATTTTCAAAATGTTGAAAGTAAAGGCTGGAGGTTGTCTGTTTATCTGGGGTATTTTACTAAAAATTTTTTTATTATATTTCTACAATTAACCAATCACAAAATAAAAATAATAATAAAAATCCACCACTTAAAAATATAAACTCCGCATTTTATTTTATAAATCTTAGATAATACAGAATTATAATTGATTAATTGTACAAATGATATGTTCTGGGACGCTGCAAAATATCAGTGGGAGAAACAAAAATGAATACAAAAAATTATATATTGGACAAACTCTTCCAAAGCGAGTTTGAGAACTACGTATGAGGTCAAAACTCCAAAAGACACGGTGAACGGAGCGATACTCGGGGGCCATATTACATTTTAAGGGTTCTAGTTGTGACTCTTAACACAATAATAAAGCTTAAAACAAGTTCAAAATGTTCCTCCGGATATTTTTGAAGGATAGAAACAAGAAGAATGCTAGCGAGGGAATCGGTAAACCTTTTGCTGCAAGATATTGTGAGTGGCACAATTTCAACTATACATGTACAAGGTTCTGGCATGTCGCCAAGCTACTGCAACCACCAACACTAACATAAAGCTAAGTAAGAGCATACCACTAACATGAAACTCAAAATCTAAGTTACATAAGCTTAGAACCTGATTCAACACCGCAATCTTTTTCTTTGACTACTGTCCTCAGAATTTCCCTGCAAGTAACAAGGAGAAGAAAATATAAGATAAAAGAAGGAGATATATATTCCAACAACATCTTCTCAGCATTCAGAGAAGCAAGAAACTAAGACAGTCTTTAAAACGAGTATATAATTGCAGGAAACAAGAAGCACTACATGCAATAAATAATCTTAATGTATTTCAGTTACATCTACACTCGAGGTATCAATAATGGTAAATCTTTGACATTCCTGAATGCTAAACGTCCCCCTTAATACGAGTGATTGAACTCTAATGTTCAATGTTAAAATATTTATGAGATAAGTTTCCCCATCCATGTTCAATTCTAAATTTTATTTTAGAATTCAGTTCCACAACAATATTGCTTTCCAAATTAACGCACAAAATGCATTTCAGCCTGAACTGAATCCTGTAAGCTCACAGAGATCGATCTGTTGAAGCATTAGGGAACCGAAAATGAAATTGAATAAGGTAATGAATAACATAAATGGTCTCCTAAAAAGATAATATTGGTAACAAGGAAAACAAAATGGCAATGCGATTTGGAGGCAAAGATAAAAATGCGTACCCCATCATACTGTACAAAATCTTCCGGAGGAACCACACTAGATTCTGACCTGCATTTAGCATGCACAATTGGACCTAACTGTGATCTATCCATGCCTTCAAATGATCCATTGGGTGCATTCATGTAGACAGCCCCTTTATACATCCACTCCTCTGTTTCATCACTATAGAAATCATCAAAAGGCTCACCACATAATGCACATATGCTCCGATCTTCATCAGCTGGGACTGCCAATTCTTCATCATCTTTCTTTTCTACAATGCTCTCAATGGGTAAAAATCCAGGAATTGCATCAGTTCCCAGAGCTTCTGCACCACTTAGCCACATACTAGCACTCACAAACCACATCCGCGAAGGTTTTTGCTTACGGTTCTTAGACATCCGGTTTCTGGTCACATGCCAATCCATATGAGCACTGTGTTCCTCTTGGAACTTGAATCGAAGGCCACATGTTGTGCACTGTCTCGGAAGATCAGCATATAAAGCACTTATTGCAGACTCATGCCGCACCTTGAGAAGATCTGCATTAAACTCAAGTCCTACAGAATCCTACAAAATGAATTACTTCATTGAGATGCAATCTTATTGAATTAAAAAAAATACATATCAATACAGAAGAACCTCTCCAAAATATGTACCTGAATGGAGGTTGGTTTTGTCAATGAGATCAAACCTTGAGCCATGAGGGAACTAATCAATCCAGAAAATGCACCACTTTGTGGTTGGTTAGTGCCAGGCATCATTTGAGATGCTGGAGGTTGACTAGAAGGAAGAGGTGGCAAGGCTCCCCCCTGTAAATGCAAAGAGCCAGATGGCATATTTGAGATCAATAAAGGAGGCCGTGCAACAGGTATTGGATTAGATGGGACCATACTGATGACAGCACCATGCATTTGTGGAGTGTATCCTTGATTCAAGGATGGTGCCAGTAAGCAAGGTGGTAATGGTGCTGTTCCAGCAGAAAGGAAACTTTCTCGAACCTCCTGAGAAGGAAGAAAGTGCGTCTGCAAAGAAGTTGCATGCAACTGGTTTCGCTGTTGCAAAGAAGGGCGTTGATCAGGCAATTGTGGCACCCTTGTTAAGCTTTGTTCCTTGCTTTCAAAACTGTCAAACTGCTCAGGCATATATGAATGGTTATTTTGACCCTGATTCATGACAGCATTGACAGGATTAATAGAATCAAATTGACTCCTATTATGCTGCTGCACTGAATAATTAGAGTGCACTGTTAGTGGCTGAGATTTATGAGCATTCACAGGATGCCATAACCCACTTGTCGATGGTATAATGCGTAGCTGAGCTCTGACAGTAACAGAGTCAAGGCTAGAAGAACCAGTTCTTGGAACAACAGCTGGAGGCCTAACAAATTGTGAACCACCATCAGGTAATCTGTCAATAAGAGGTACAGTTTTCTCGCCACTTAATGAGGATATACCATTAGCTGAAAAGGGTATCCGAAAATCCCTTCCTCTTTCTTTGGCAAGAAGATGTTGAGATGACTGAGAAAAACAGTATGACGAATTCCAAGCCTCCTGAGGATAATGCGAAAGCAGAATCTGATTTGATCCACAACCAGACTGCAGAAAACATGTTAGAATGCGTAGATGTAAGATGAAAGATGTCAACCAACTAGATGAAGTGTAAAATACATAAGAGAAGATGCAAAAATCTAGCAAATGATATAGAAAATGATATCTAGAAATCCAGAAAGCTAAATTGGCTGCAAATGGATCCAAACCCTCATGATTTATGAGATTTTATAGCTCAAATCATCCACATGAAATTATGTTGGGGGTAGATGATGAAAAATCAACAGTGACGAAGACTAGAAATATCCACACCAGTCTACATAAGTTGAACAAGGAGAAGGGGAGGAAGCAGACTTTCCTAGAACAAATATAATTTGATTCGTATTATAACTAACAAGGATGCTTGAACAAGAAAGGGTACAGAAAAAAAGTTGAACAAGCATACACTCAGTGAAGGGACTGCATCTTCAGGAATTGCTGAAGACTCATCAACAAGGGGCAGCTGAGTTTGAGAATTGTAACTGCTCCTACTATTAGATTCCAAGCCAGCAGGCCTTGCTCCAATGCTTCCAAAAGTTGGAACAGATGACAGTGAAAAATCATTGCTCCTACGGTCTGCTAAGGTAGGGCTCATATCTTCCCAATCAAACTCTTCCACTTCAGTATTCTGCCATGATCTTTGAGTCACCTTATTCCCCATTCCATTTACATCCAGCCGTTCAACCTGTACAGGCTTGCTGTCAGAAACCCCCTTTCCTCTATCATTACCATATGCATCTATTAGAGCCCTGGGTGTCTGACGCTCATGCCCATTGCTAAGCTTGTTTGCCTTCAAAGAACTTTCAGAACGATTAGGGTAATCATCATAAAAGTGCTTCCTCTGCCACTCCCTTGTCTCCTCATCTCTGATAATTGCCCTTCCCCGTCCATAATCGAAGGCAGGACGAGATGGAGAGGCTCCCTCAATGAGCCTTCTAGGAGAATCATCTGATGCAAGAGCATAAACTTCTGATGTTAGAAGTCTATCAGATCCAATCCTTGACAGTGAAAAAGGCCTTGAAACTCTGGAAGCTGAAGAAAGTTGTGACTTGTTAGCCCCAATTGCAGCAGATGTACGGCCAACATTTCCAGTTGAGCTCAATCTTAGCACTCCAACATGTGAGGATGGAACCTCTGTATGATCAGAATCAAATTCATCATATCCAATGGAATGTTTTTGACTATACAATTTTAGACCTTCAGACGGGCCTCTTACATGCTGAGTATTCTGCAAAGGTTGCAAACATTTCACACTTCAGATGCCATTCTGTATGATGCATGTGCATATATACATGCATGTACAATCGCATAAGTAAGAGAAGTTTTAAAAAGATTTCTCAGCAGGTTTACCACTCAGGGAAGCTAAAATCATAATAAAATCACTAGCAGGAAAATCATACATCTCAATCGGAAGAAAGACATTCTAAACAAAAACTAACAAGAATAGGAAGCATAAGGCTCAAATCAAACTTGAAAAGGCAGATGAGGGGAAAAAGAAAGAGCCTGTAACCAAAAATTAACAAGAAAAGGAAAAGCTCTTAAGTTTTTTAGCCACCAAAACATATAAGCACAGTGGAAAACACAATAACCGTTCCCACCCCATTCCCCCCAAAAAAACAGAACAACAAGTTAATAACCCAGTTGTTTTCCAATAGAGTTTGAGTTTAGATTAACAAATTTCTTAAAGTGATTGCACTTATCAATTGCTTGCACTTGTTCACCTTTATTGTTCTTCTTCTCTCACAATTCTAGAACTAAAAAGCTTGGTCATGCTGCTTACCAACACAGAACAGTAGCTAAAACTAGCCCTCACTTGCTGCAGGCTCATGTTAACCTCTCATTTCATACCGAAATTCCAACTAATTTCAGCAAATAACTTTACCAAAACAAATCTTAATATATTAATTGCCCTTAATATTCAGGCAACCTAATCCCTCGCTTCCAGCCTATCCCTAGTGATCAAACCCCAATTCACCTTTATATTATAACCTTCTTCAGTACCAAAAGCAATTATGTCCAGAAGGATCTAAAACTGCTAGCAACATCTAATTCAAAGAAAATTTCAAAAGAAAAACATGTTTTTGCATTGTTTTCCCGAAATAGTGACATATTCATGAAAACTACAGAACACAGCAATGTGCAAGAATGTAAACAACAGTTTGACAACCATACATCCCAGTCAAACAGAGGATATGGAGAATAGAGTTTTTCATCAGAAAGCTTACGGTATCTGCACCTGACTGTTGTTCCAACTGCCGCAAGTACTTAGGATTAACATGTATGCCATGTGCTGGACCAGGCGACTCAGAAGACTGCAAGGAAGCTAAACCAGGCGATTGCTGGTTAGCTGATTGAGAAAATTGCAACCGCACCTCAATTTTACGGAGGACAGGAGATGGAAACACTGTTGACCACGTGCCAAAGAGATGGCGCATAGCAGGATGCAAGTTTGGGTTAACTTGCCTGTATGCCTCACGGAAAACCTAATTAAATTAAAAAGGCTTAATGTTATGAATGATCCCTGAATTATAGTAAAATATTTAATGTGATACCTAAATTTTAAAAATCTGTAATTTGGTACCTAAACGATGAATTTGATAACTAATGTGATACACACCCGTAATGTGGCTACCTCCAAATGATAACCCATAGCACAAAAACAACACTTCAAGTACTACATTAGTTAACAAATTCATAATTTAGGTACCACATTAAATATTTCTAAAGTTAAGATATTATATTGAACGTTTTACTATAGTTTTGGGACCATTCATAACATTAATCCAATTAAAAACAAAAACAAAATTAATCCCACATCAAACTAATAATAAAGAAATGAACTTTACCAAAAAAATGTTGCCAATGACTCACCTCTGGCAAACGGGAAGAGAAATGCCTAACATATTCTCGGCCAATATTTTTTACAATGCTATCTAAAAGATATAAAGAAGGAAGCTTCTGCTCTACTGGAGCCTGTATGCAATAAAATTGAAATTATTTTTTTTAAAAGAAAATGTTCATATTAGTTGGCAGTTACAACGAAAACCCTAATTTTAACTAACCTCAACAATTCGTGCGCAAATAGCATCGGCAATGCCTTCACCGTGCTTCCGCTGTTCACCGGCAATGATCGTGAGATCAGTAATTATCGGCTTCGAATTGAAAGTCAGTTCCGATAAGACAGTCTCGTAAAGCTGAACAATCTTCTCCCTACTCGGCGTTGCCCCCTCCTCATCATCACCACCACGACCGCCAGAAACCCTAAGCTCATCTTCCCGTTGCTTCAATAGAGCCTTAAACCGTTCCAATATCGACGGCAGTTGCTTTTGCGCTAACTCATTGGACATGGCCTTGCTACTATTGCTACTTTTGTTATTGGTGGCAGAGAAAGATAATAAATTTCTAGGGTTTTCTCGGGAAAGTAGAATTTTCTCTGATTCCATGCAGGTTTCAGAGAAAATTTATCGAAAGCGTGAAGGGATTAGGGCTTCCGACCCCCCGTGAAACGGTAAGGATTGAATTAGGGTTTTTTGTTGCCAGCATCGAACAAGAAACAGATACAGTTTAGTGTGTCACAAAAATGAGAGTTACCATTCTGTTCTTGTAAAGGTTTTGTCTTTTTTTTTTGCAGAGACGATAAAATAACAATAATTAAAAATCTTTTATTTTCTTTGATTTGGTTTAATCCACGGTTGAGAAGAAAAGGCAATTTTTGGTAAAATGATGGGGCCCATAGTGTTCTATGACGTGGAGGTTAATAACAAGCACAGATATTCTGATTTCCTTGAGCAGGGATACAGAAAATAATCATAATCTAACGATCCAGTAAACGTGATGGAATCGGACGGTCATTATCGTTTGAAAACCTATACAAGAGTGTTCAAGGTTAGTGGGATAAAACGTGTTTTTTTTTATTGGTAAACACTGTTTTTTTAATCCAATTTTAGCTGCTAAAGCACCGACCAGCGTTTGTTTATATGATGTTTTTTTGTGCTTTGTTGTTCGTTTTGCTCTGGATTTCTGGTTTTTGATGGTGACTGTCTAATGATTTTTAGCTTTTTTCCCACAAATTAGTAAAAAGAAGATTACTTGCTTTCTGGGATTTTGATTTTTAAGCTGATAGTGACAAAAATATAGGTTATAATGTCGGATTAACAGTTGAACTTCACCTAATGAGGAAACTTGAAAACTTGAATGTCCTTTTTTTTTTTCTTTTTTTTCTTTTATGGTCTTGAAATGTTGAAACTTCTATGTGAAATTAATAGGTAGAATATGCAGTTTACCAGATGGTATCCTTATTCCCATTCAATCCTTCCTTCCAACAAAAGAAGCTATTAGAACAAGCGTTTTATCTAAGAGATGGCAATTCTTGTGGGCGCCCATCACCAAACTTGATGAGTTTTGTGGAAATTAAGGGTACTTTTGCTTTGTAACTCTTCTTCAAGTACAGAAAAAATCCCACATTAAGCTGCATATAAGATATCTTGTTGTCAGTTCATGATTCTGGAAAGAACCTCAAGTCTTTAGTTTTATATAGTGGTTCATTGAATATAACAAGTTCACACTCTCATCTCATGTGATTTACTGTCTGACGTGTCTCGTGTTAATTTGCTGCTGTAAGTCATCATGTAGAAGAATTAAATCTTCGATTTGATAATATTTAAGGAGTCATGCGTTTTACCTCATCGCCTTTTCAGCTGTGAGACAACGAGATTGCTGAAATTGTGTATGATGTATGAGCTCAAGCTTCCCTCTGTCATTTCACTCTCAAATCTAACAGTATTATATCTTGAGGATGTCATATTCCGGATCACCGTTTGACAGAGAAGCTCTTTTTCTAGTTGCTTAAAAGAGTGTTGATAACTGATGGAACAGATGGAATTGATGATCATCAGAGTGATGACTCAAATGATCAAGATGGTGGAGATGTTGATCAATGGACTGTCTACTTGCAATATTATCACTAACTGAATATTTCAGAAACCCTTTAATTATAATTACTGAATCATCTTAAATCAATAAATTTCATTTCCCTGAGACTTCAGGCTTTCTAGATTCTAAACCTCAAGCAGTACTCATCTCTAAAAGAAAGGATGTTGCTGGAAGTATGGCAATATATTTCTGAGAAAATAGCAAGCAACGTATGTATGATCTGTCTGTGTATGTTTATTTCCAGAATAAATATAAGCCCAATGCTTGTTACAAGAACATCATGTTTCAGAATTAAGACTATAACCAGGTTTGATTATTATGTAACTAATGGCTATCATGTACGAATATAAGTTTTGCTTCATATAATCAAGTTTAAAAATTTTTGAACCGGTATGGATATCGAACAGAAAAGCTTGAAGATATATAATCAAATGAATTGCATAAGAAATGAATTCATTTTTCCCGCATGTTGTCTTCATTTATTTCATTGTACAGTACAACAAAAATGACCAAAAGAATAATCAGTCAGGGAGGTTGTCGATGGATATTTGAGTTTATAACTTCATTTGTGGCAAATCCCTTGACGCCATTGACGCCCGGGAGGTTTTCATTTTGGGGTTCTCATTGCCCGAGATCAGTGTTTCCCCAAACGCCATTGACGCCCAAGGGCGTGCTTTGTATGGCTCATTGCATTGAGCCAGTTTATTTTTTTTACCAAGAAATTCAACCCTCAATTTTGGGTTCTTAAGGCTGAAATCTGATATTTCCAGACTTTGTTGAAGCCCGACAAATCATTATTGCTTTGGGCCCATTGCTGCCATTGCCCACTCCTTTCTTTGTCCGTTAGTTTTTAATTTTTGTCCTCGTTGACGTTGACCATGTAGTTACTATTTAGAACTAAGTACTCAAAACTCAATCCATCACGCTGCAAAACATTAAGCATACCCCGTTGAAAACCCAAACCAAAGGCTGCGGCAGACAGAAAAGATGGACAGACAAGATACCGAGTGTTGTGTTTCAATGCCAAAGGTTGAACTTCATGCTCATCTCAATGGTTCGGTTAGGAACTCTACACTCCTGTGAGCTTACTTGTCCCTTTCTTCTCTCTCTCTAATCTTGAGGTTTCAATTATCTTTGCTTTCAGAATTATGAAGGTTAATTTAGCGGTGTTGCTTTCTGGCAGGGAACTTGCAAGAGATTTGGGTGAAAAGGGGTATCATTGTTTTCTCTGAGGTGGAGAATGTTATAATGAAAAGTATGTTTCCTCCTCCTCTTTTAAAGCTTTACTCTATTTCATTGCTGAAAAAAGAATGAAAAGCAAGGAGGAAATATTCTCTGCTCAATTATGTCATGTGCACATTGTGCAGTTGTTATTCTTGAGAACCCAAAACAAACATGAGTTTGGCTACTTGGTCACAGCTCAAGTGGAAAGGCCGGGTTGGGTTTGGGGTTGGAAATTTTTGGTTGATTTAATCAATCCTTGCACATCTAGGAAATCAAGGTTTCCTTATATTGTGTTCTGTATGTTAAAGACTGATATTTTGGGAACTCCTAATAATTTTTTCAATTCAGGTGACCGTACTCTACATGAAGTGTTCAAGCTGTTCGACCTCATCCACATTCTCACTACTGATCACTCGACTGTTACAAGAATTACTAAAGAAGTAAGGAAGCTTCCTACTTGAAGGCATCTTTTACGATAATTCGTCCATATTGATTCCTCTTACATTTCTTACTTTTTCTACATATAGGTCATTGAAGATTTTGCATCTGAGAATGTTGTATATCTAGAGCTTAGAACTACTCCTAAGGTACTTGCACTGCAACATGTTAGTTTTGTATTTGTTTTATATGATAAATAGCATGTGGTTTTGAATTGATGAACTGATGGAACCATTGTACAGAAAAATGATTCCATAGGAATGAGCAAACGATCTTATATGGAAGCTGTGATGGAGGGTTTAAGAGCTATCAGTTCAGTTGATGTTGATTATGCTCCTGCTGGTTTGAAGACCAACACATTTAATGGAACTACAAGAAAAAAAATATATGTTAGGTTTCTGCTAAGCATTGACCGCCGTGAAAGCACTGAAGCTGCCATGGAAACTGTATGTCAGGAATGCAATTTGTCAAAAGCTTGTTATTTGTTATCTGATATCTTTCTCTTTCCCCAATTTCTAGGTTAAGCTTGCGCTGGAAATGAGGGATTTTGGGGTAGTCGGCATTGATCTCTCTGGAAACCCAACTGTAGGCAATTGGTACTCATTTGCAAACAACTTCTTCTTCTTTTTTATTTTTATTTAATTTCGTTTTGGATAAATAATTAGTAATTACTGCCATTAATTCTTACTAGTTTATCCATGGCCATGTCTTTTAAATGTTATAGCGGTGCCATGATTCTGATGTAGGACTACATTCTTGCCTGCATTAAAGTTTGCTAGGGAGCAGGATTTCTATATCACTCTTCACTGTGGAGAGGTGCATTTTTGTTTCTACTGCTCAAGATTGTCATGCTAGTTGTGTGCTTTATAATAATTGAAATAACACCGATTATTTATTTTCATATCTTATCGCTTGTAGGTACCTAACCAGGAGGAAATCAAAGCCATGCTAGATTTTCTTCCCCAGAGGATTGGTCATGCATGTTGCTTTGATGAGGAAAACTGGAGAAAGTTGAAATCATTGAAAATCCCTGTAAGATATTTTTCACTTTAGATATCAAATTTTCAAAGCCAATTATTTGATAGGTTGATTTGGTGTAATTTATTAGATTTGAAAATCCAGCAAAATGTTATTATGTCAACCATGTTTCCTCTCATCAAGGTTCAATGATGCCTATGCTACTGCCTTTATTCACAGACCTATTTAGAGAGGCTTTTAGAAGTTCAAGAGTTTGCATTATAGCCCTGAATTTTGTTGGATTTAGATCATTTGGTGCTAAATATTTTCTTCTTTTTTGTTTCTTAAAATCTTTTTTCAGGTTGAGATTTGTTTGACATCCAATATCAGGACCGAAACAATTTCTTCAATCGATATCCATCATTTTGGTGAGGCTTTTTTGCCTCTGTTTCAACTCCTAAGAATCTAATTTTGCAAGTACATAATCAGCTACTCTTGAAGGATTGCAGTACATTAATTTTCTTTCTGCTGCATACTGACTTCTATACGCATCTGCTCGCGAAATGGTGATGCAGTTGATCTATACAAGGCAAAACATCCTTTGGTTCTGTGCACGGATGATTCTGGGGTTTTCTCTACCAGTCTTTCTGGGGAGTACAGTCTTGCTTCCTCTGCATTTGGTAAGTGGAATGTAGCTAGCATACGCGAAGGGTACAGATCGAAGAGTTTATACTCATTGATGATTTATTCTTATGTTCCCAGGTCTTGGAAAGATCGAAATGTTTGAGCTTGCTGAAAATGCTATTGATTATATATTTGCTGATGATGGAGTAAAGGAAGATTTGAAAGCCATTTTTGAAGTAGCCACAGAGAAGCTGGATTTATGAGTCGTAGCAGTTTTACTTCCTACTAGTACTTTATAGGTCAGCAGTGACATTGTTGATCCATTTTCAGTTGCAAAGTCTAAAAATATTTTGATTTTGGCATGCTATAGTTAATTAAAAGTAATGAAATATTATGTCAAATATGTAATTATCCTATCCAACAGTCATTTTTTTTTTTTACTTTCATTTAAAATTAAAGTTGATAATTTAAAATATGATAATACGATACGAATATCATAAAAAAAATGATATAATTTAAAATTTTAATAATAAATATATATAAATTTAATAAAATAAA